CTTCAATGGTGCAGCATGGAATGTCTTTCATGCCTGTGCCATAATAAGCGACAGCGGCGTCGCCACTGTATGCTCTACTTGCTCCCCCATGGCTAGAAGCTGGGAATTGAAACATTCCCTTCCCCATCCAGTAACATACTTGACTGCACACAAAGGGCTACTTCATTGATCTGGTTGTCGCTTTGCTGTGATGGTCATCCATCTACCTATCACACTATTGCGGACTGTGTAAAAAGAGTAACACATGTAAATACAATAAGTTGTTCCCGATAACCCTCCCTCCTGCACTAAAAATCAGTAAATTCCAGACTCCTGAGTCGCCAGGTGGACAATTGACGATTGTCTAGCATCGATTGACCTCATCCCAAAATCAATCTCGTCAGGGATGACCCATTCCAGGTTGAACCAGTCCACATCGCCTTGACTACATTTTCTGTAACCCACGCCCGTTGGCTCGGGGTAAAGCGAGCCGATCACGACGTGAATTAGCCATGGCAAAGTCACCTGTGCATACTGATGATCACCTAACAAGGCAGAGCATTGAATGTAGCAACGAAAACGATGGTTCTTTGCCCCCATAGGTTGACCATCCATATCCTCATCCGTGTTTTTTCCCAAGCACACCCTCAGAATGCTCGCCACACTAATTCTCTGACTCCCGGGGCCCTCCTCGTCCGACAATCCGAGCCAATGTCGCGCCCAAGCGTCAAGAACACGATATTGCTTGGCATATCGCGCCTCAAACTCAGATATGGACTGTCAGAATATTATGCTCTAGCCTGTAGTGGGGTGCTCTATAGCGAGTACAACCCTTCTAGGGTTTGCTATTTGTATCCTCATTCTTGCTAGTGCAACCTCTCTTCTTCCTTTTAAACTTTCACATGCTATCAGAGCAGGTCGATCCCCTTGGATCGATCCTGTGGGTGGGATCACCACCTCGTTGCTTCCGCTGCAACTTCCACTGCTACCCTCTGTGCTGCACGCCCCGTGGCGTGCGGCAGTTTTTCTTCCCGCCGTGCGCCCCGAGGCGCGCGGCGGTTTTCTGCCCGCCGTGCGCCCCGTGGCACGCGGCGGTTCTCTGCCCGCTGTGCGCCCCGAGGCGCGCGGCGGGCTTCTGCCCCGTCACTCGGCGCGTCGCCCTCGGGAGGCGCTGCGACGGGCGACGGGGACCCGCGCGTCGCCCCCCGTCGCCCGTCGTGGCCTGCGCGCGGCCCGTACAGGCTGCGCGCGGCCCGTACAGGCTGCGCGCGGCCCGTAAGGGCTGCGCCAGGCCCGGACGCGGCCCGTACGGGCTGCGCCAGGCCAGCGCGCGGCCCGTACGGGCTGCGCCAGGCCCGCGCGCGGCCCGTACGGGCTGCGACAGGCCCACGCGCGGCTCGGGCCGCCTGCGCGCGGTTCGGGCGGCTGTGCCAGGCCCGTGGGCGGCCCTTTCCTCGCTGCCCCTGCCCTCCCCGCTGTCCCCCGTGCTTCTACTGGCGCCCCACCCCTCCTACAGCCCGTTCTCCTGAATTAGGGTTTGGGGGTGAGGGGTATGGGGGTGAAGCCACTGTGTGCCGTTCCCTGCTCCTCCTCCTCCTCCGTCTCCCTGTGCTGCAGCTGCCGCTGAGGGGGGGTGGACTTGTTGGAGCCGTTGGAGTGGTACTAAGGGGGGGTGAAGGGGGAGTGGAGCTAGCGGTGTAGCAGCGGGTGTGTGAGAGGGGTGTTGGGCAGCTGGGGGAGGTTAAGTGGAGGCAGCAGTCTTGTCGTCAGCAGCACCAGCAGTCCGGAGGCTACAATCTCCGGTAGTCGCCAGTCGCCTGTGGGTCAGTTGTTCGTCTGCCGCTACTTTTAGCCGCGGAGCCAGTTACTCCTGTAGTCCGGGCCTTTGCTTCGGTAGCCACTGAGCCAGCAGCTCGTCTGTGTGTCTGCAGCGTCAGCAGTCGCCTCCCATCTTCTCTCCCCCACAGTCTCTCCTCCTCCTCACTTGCCCTCTGTGACTACCACTAGCTTTGCTCATAATTGTGAACTTTAAACTATTGCTTCTTGAACTTGTGCTCAGAATGTGTGGTGACATTGTGATCCACCCTGAGCTTGTACTGCTTTACTTGCTCTGCTGATTACACCCCACTTTGGCTATGGGGGTGTGTCAGAATATTATGCTCTAGCCTGTAGTGGGGTGCTCTATAGCGAGTACAACCCTTCTAGGGTTTGCTATTTGTATCCTCATTCTTGCTAGTGCAACCTCTCTTCTTCCTTTTAAACTTTCACATGGACCACCGTTCTTTTGCATATTGAACCTGTGGGGGTAGTCCCGTTGGTTGCACAACTCTTCGAGATCGAACTCTGGGAAAGGGATGCGTTGTGCTCGCGGCAACCGAACGAGTATGGGCGGAGAGGGTGCCCGTACTTGCCGTGACCATCGACTCCGGTCCACGTCGCCGACCCCTCTCCTCCTCCTCATCCTCGGAACCCTCCTCCCCAACCTTGAATCCAAGCGTCAGCCGTCTCCGAGGAGTACGTCGCCATGATGACATGGCTGATGAGGTATGTGGTTTAGAGTGTGAGAAACGAGTATATCAGGCAGAAAAACAAGAGAGAGAGGCGTGCTGTTGTCGAGTTGTTCTTCTGGTGAGTAATATGGTGGTGACTCAGTTACGCAAGAGTCACTCAGCCTTGCCATGCAGCTGACGATGTTTCTTGTTCCTTTCGCAGGTTGTCCCGTCGATGTTGTTGAGACTTGTACTGAAGTTGTCGGATTTGCTTGCGTTGAGGCGACTTGACTGCTTGAAGGGCGAAGTTGGCGTTGCGGCGACGTTGACTGTTGTCGATTCGGGCAGTGCGTACGAGGATGCCCTGAAGTCTTGCAGAGGTGGCAGAACGGAGGTACGATTTTCGGTCGATTGTTGTTGTTGTTGTGGCGCCGTTGAGTGTGAAACGCGAATTCGGGCACTGATACCTTTCTCTTGTGTCGTTCTTCTTGCAGGTCCATGTCTTGCTGCCCGGCGTGGATTTCGGCGCAAAGTGCTGCTTCAGAAATTTTCCCGTGGGCTCGTAGTATGGCGCGAGTGGAGCGCCAGTGAGGACCAAGACCGCCGATGACAACCGTGACGAAGGCGTCCTCTGAAATCGATCCTCCACATCGAAGAAGCTTGTCGCGCAGCTCGCGGCAGCGACTGATATACGCCATTCCCTTCTCGCCTGGTTTCATTTCGATTGTTGTCAGCTGCGCCATTAACCGACTTTGGTTTACGCTGTCTGTTGCTTGATACAGGCTCTTCAAGTGATTGTACGCGAGCTCCGCGGAGTTGCCGTAGCCTCGGTAAGACCGTATGTTTTGTTGTTGAGTTGGAGTGATGTTCCTCAGTAGTATCGTGTACGCCATCATCGATTGATAGGTGTACTGCTGCTTCTCATACTGTGTGCCGTTTGTTGGGTATGGCAGGGACCCGTCGAAGAAGCCAAGGATTTGCGCTCCTTCCATCATCAGCTCGAATTCGAACGACCAGGTAAAGAAATCCTTCCCGTCGAAGGGTTTTGTCGTTTGCAGTTTTAGAACGTGCGCGAACTGCGACTGAACTTGTAGTGCGTCCAGCGTTCTCTCTTGTCCCGGTGCAGGTTGTGGTTGTGGCATGAAGCTGACGGAGCCGCGCTGGGGCTCGTACGGAGCGAAGGTAGGTTGCTGTTGTTGATTCCCGCGTGCGTAGGATGAGCCATCGAGACTCATGGGCGTCACGTTGTTGTTGTTGTTGCTGTTGTTTGATTGCGCAGGTGCTCCTTGCTGATGCTGCTCGTAGAAGGACATGAAGGAGAAGAACTTCTCCATCATGCTTGGATCGAAGCCCACGCCTTGGTTTGCGGGTGTTTCAGTAGACCCAGCTGCCGGTCTCGTTGTTGTGCCTTCCTCTGTCTGTAGGCCAGAGGCAGGAGGTGGAGTAGGAGTAGTACCAGGAGAGCCGTTGGAGGAGCTCCTCTCCTTTCTGGTAGACATGTCTCTTGGTGTATTAGGTGTTAAGGAGAAATAATTTTAACCCTAACCAGCTCTCATACCATGTTGGGCTGAGTGCCCCTTAGGATCTTTGGTAGGGTTAAACTCTGGGTAGAGTGATGTAGTAGCGGAAGCGTTTAAATGAAGTCCTTGAACCACCTTGCGCTGGTATGTGAGGGCAAAGTAAGTTGATTAAAACAAGCAAGTACAAAGGTTTATATAAGAGTACAAAGAATACGAAGAGATATAATTAAACTGTTTTACTGTTGCGGTTCGATACAGTGCGACTCGGGCAACTGCTCAATGTCGAGTCAGTTGTGTGTCCTTGCTGTCGCGCTGCATTTGTCAAGTCAAAGGTCACTGACCTTTGACTTTCGCGTAACCTCCAGCGGTTACTTCAACCTCCGAGGGTTGACTCGCTGGTGCTTCGATATGCTCTGCTTCGCTTGTGCCTTGGTGTTTCGACACGACAGAGGCGCTTAAAGCCCAAGACCTGAATTACTCAACGGAAGTCAACTGAGTATTTCTAGGTTCGGCGGGCTGCCAGTTGGAGGTTCGGATGGGTTGAGTGACAGGCGAAGCCTCAAAAACACTTTGCGACTGAAAGTAGTTCGCCACAAACTCCCTACATGCTGATTGGTTGTAAAAAGCAGGCAGGGTCCTTCTTCCCAAACTCGACAAACCTGAGAAGCAACGTGCCAGGGAAACTGTGCACAGTTTGAGCAGCCACACATGCACTCGAACAAACATATTAGTTGCTTAGTCCACTTCAGCAGGGCGCCACCTTAGATTCTAGAAATACGCGGAATAGCCGTAGGGAGCGAATGTCCGTGTGGACTGGACCAGCAAAGTGCGATGCTTAGGGTGAGGATAGAGGAGGCTGTTACTAAATGCCAGTGCGGGCGTGAGTTAGCGAGACACATCGAGGCCTGAACTGGCGATTTATTCAGAGAGTCTAAAAGTATAGGCTAATACACAAACACTCGACCACGCTCGCTTCCCATAGGTCACAGGGCGGACGTATCCATCGTCTGCAATGCGTAGCCATCTTACGCCGTGCGTCGGAGCCGATTAGAAACAAACGCGCTAGAGACAGCCTCAGCATCTTGCCTCCCGCCCTGCCCGGGACAACCCCTCCCCGCCATTTGGTCGCGCCTGCCTTTCACATATCGCATGGTGAGAAGCTTCCCGTCGCCCTCATTCCATCTTCCCGTCGCCCTCATTCCATCTTCCCGTCGCCCTCATTCCATCTTCCCGTCGCCCTCATTCCATCTTCCCGTCGCCCTCATTCCATCTTCCCGTCGCCCTCATTCCATCTTCCCGTCGCCCTCATTCCATCTTCCCGTCGCCCTCATTCCATCTTCCCGTCGCCCTCATTCCATCTTCCCGTCGCCCACATTCCATCTTCCCGTCGCCCTCATTCCATCTTCCCGTCGCCCACATTCCATCTTCCCGTCGCCCTCATTCCATCTTCCCGTCGCCCACATTCCATCTTCCCGTCGCCCTCATTCCATCTTCCCGTCGCCCTCATTCCATCTTCCCGTCGCCCTCATTCCATCTTCCCGTCGCCCTCATTCCATCTTCCCGTCGCCCTCATTTCATCTTCCCGTCGCCCACATTCCATCTTCCCGTCGCCCTCATTCCATCTTCCCGTCGCCCTCATTCCATCTTCCCGTCGCCCTCATTCCATCTTCCCGTCGCCCTCATTCCATCTTCCCGTCGCCCTCATTCCATCTTCACGTCGCCCTCATTCCATCTTCCCGTCGCCCTCATTCCATCTTCCCGTCGCCCTCATTCCATCTTCCCGTCGCCCTCATTCCATCTTCCCGTCGCCCTCATTCCATCTTCCCGTCGCCCTCATTCCATCTTCCCGTCGCCCTCATTCCATCTTCCCGTCGCCCTCATTTCCCGTCCCGTCGCCCTCGTTTCCCTTCCCGCCGCCCTCATTTCCCTTCCCGACGCCCCCATTTCCCTTCCCGTCGCCCTCAATTCCCTTCCCGTCGCACTCATTTCCCGACCCGGCGCACTTATTTCCCTTCCCGTCGCCCTCATTTCCCGTCCCGTCGCCCTCATTTCCCTTCCCGTCGCACTCATTTCCCTTCCCGTCGCCCTCATTTCCCTTCCCGTCACCCCCCATTACCCTTCCCGTCGCAAACATTACCCTTCCTGTCGCCCTCATTTCCCTTCCCGTCGCACTCATTTCCCTCGAGTCCTCCCTCCCCCTCATCCGCCCTTCCTCCACCTCTCCATCCTCTCATCCTCCCTTCATCTCATCCTCCCTTCCTCTTATCCTCCCTTCCTCTCATCCTCCTTTCCTCTCATCCACCCTTCCTCTCATCCTCCCTTCTCTCATCCTGTCTCCCTCTCATCCTCTCTCCCTCTCATCCGCCCTGCGTCTCGACCTTCCTTCCTCTCGTCCTCCCTCCCCGTCTTCCGCCCTCCCCCTCATCCGCCCTCCCTCTCATCCTCCCTTCATCTCATCCTCCCTTCCTCTTATCCGCCCTTCCTCTCATCCTCCTTTCCTCTCATCCTCCCGCCCTCTCATCCGCCCTTCTCTCATCCTCTCGCCCTCTCATCCGCCCTCCCTCTCATCCTCCCTTCATCTCATCCTCCCTTCATCTCATCCACCCATACTCTCATCCTCCCTTCCTCTCATCCTCCCTTCCTCTCATCCTCCTCTCCTCTCATCCTACCCTTCCTCACATCCTCTCTTCCTCTCATCCTCCCTTCCTCTCATCCGCCCTTCTCTCTCTCATCCTCCCGCCCTCTCATCCGCCCTTCTCTCAAGGGCTCGCCCTCTCATCCTCTCTCCCTCTCATCCTCTCTCCATCTCATCCTCCCTTCATGAAATCCACCCATCCTCTCATCCTCCCTTCCTCTCATCCTCCCTTCCTCTCATCCTCCTCTCCTCTCATCCTCTCTCCCTCTCATCCGCCCTCCCTCTCATCCTCCCTTCATCTCATCCTCCTTTCCTCTCATCCTCCCTTCCTCTCATCCGCCCTTCTCTCTCTCATCCTCTCTACCTCTCATCCTCCCGCCCTCTCATCCGCCCTTCCTCTCGTCCTCCCTTCCTCTCGTCCTCTCCCCCCTTCTTCCGCCCTCCCCCTCATCCCCCCTTCCTCACATCCTCTCTTCCTCTCATCCTCCCAACCTCTCATCCGCCCTTCTCTCTCTCATCCTCCCGCCCTCTCATCCGCCCTTCTCTCGTCCTCTCGCCCTCTCATCCGCCCATCCTCTCATCCTCCCTTCATCTCATCCTCCCTTCATCTCATCCACCCATCCTCTCATCCTCCCTTCCTCTCATCCTCCCTTCCTCTCATCCTCCTCTCCTCTCATCCTCTCTCCCTCTCATCCGCCCTCCCTCTCATCCTCCCTTCATCTCATCCTCCTTTCCTCTCATCCTCCCTTCCTCTCATCCGCCCTTCTCTCTCTCATCCTCTCTACCTCTCATCCTCTCTCCCTCTCATCCGCCCTTCCTCTCGTCCTCCCTTCCTCTCGTCCTCCCTCCCCTTCTTCCGACCTCCCCCTCATCCGCCCTTCCTCTCATCCGCCCATCCTCTCATCCTCCCTTCATCTCATCCTCCTTTCCTCTCATCCTCCCTTCCTCTCATCCGCCCTTCTCTCTCTCATCCTCTCTTCCTCTCATCCTCCCGCCCTCTCATCCGCCCTTCCTCTCGTCCTCCCTTCCTCTCGTCCTCCCCCCCCCTTCTTCCGCCCTCCCCCTCATCCGCCCTTCCTCTCATCCGCCCATCCTCTCATCCTCCCTTCATCTCATCCTCCTTTCCTCTCATCCTCCCTTCCTCTCATCCGCCCTTCTCTCTCTCATCCTCCCGCCCTTTCATCCGCCCTTCCTCTCGTCCTCCCTTCCTCTCGTCCTCCCTTCCCTTCTTCCGACCTCCCCCTCATCCGCCCTTCCTCTCATCCGCCCATCCTCTCATCCTCCCTTCATCTCATCCTCCTTTCCTCTCATCCTCCCTTCCTCTCATCCACCCTTCCTCTCATCCTCCCTTCTCTCATCCTGTCTCCCTCTCATCCTCTCTCCCTCTCATCCGCCCTGCGTCTCGACCTTCCTTCCTCTCGTCCTCCCTCCCCGTCTTCCGCCCTCCCCCTCATCCGCCCTCCCTCTCATCCTCCCTTCATCTCATCCTCCCTTCCTCTTATCCGCCCTTCCTCTCATCCTCCTTTCCTCTCATCCTCCCGCCCTCTCATCCGCCCTTCTCTCATCCTCTCGCCCTCTCATCCGCCCTCCCTCTCATCCTCCCTTCATCTCATCCTCCCTTCATCTCATCCACCCATACTCTCATCCTCCCTTCCTCTCATCCTCCCTTCCTCTCATCCTCCTCTCCTCTCATCCTACCCTTCCTCACATCCTCTCTTCCTCTCATCCTCCCTTCCTCTCATCCGCCCTTCTCTCTCTCATCCTCCCGCCCTCTCATCCGCCCTTCTCTCAAGGGCTCGCCCTCTCATCCTCTCTCCCTCTCATCCTCTCTCCATCTCATCCTCCCTTCATGAAATCCACCCATCCTCTCATCCTCCCTTCCTCTCATCCTCCCTTCCTCTCATCCTCCTCTCCTCTCATCCTCTCTCCCTCTCATCCTCCCTCCCTCTCATCCTCCCTTCATCTCATCCTCCTTTCCTCTCATCCTCCCTTCCTCTCATCCGCCCTTCTCTCTCTCATCCTCTCTACCTCTCATCCTCCCGCCCTCTCATCCGCCCTTCCTCTCGTCCTCCCTTCCTCTCGTCCTCTCCCCCCTTCTTCCGCCCTCCCCCTCATCCCCCCTTCCTCACATCCTCTCTTCCTCTCATCCTCCCAACCTCTCATCCGCCCTTCTCTCTCTCATCCTCTCGCCCTCTCATCCGCCCATCCTCTCATCCTCCCTTCATCTCATCCTCCCTTCATCTCATCCACCCATCCTCTCATCCTCCCTTCCTCTCATCCTCCCTTCCTCTCATCCTCCTCTCCTCTCATCCTACCCTTCCTCACATCCTCTCTTCCTCTCATCCTCCCTTCCTCTCATCCGCCCTTCTCTCTCTCATCCTCCCGCCCTCTCATCCGCCCTTCTCTCATCCTCTCGCCCTCTCATCCGCCCATCCTCTCATCCTCCCTTCATCTCATCCTCCCTTCATCTCATCCACCCATCCTCTCATCCTCCCTTCCTCTCATCCTCCCTTCCTCTCATCCTCCTCTCCTCTCATCCTCTCTCCCTCTCATCCGCCCGCCCTCTCATCCTCCCTTCATCTCATCCTCCTTTCCTCTCATCCTCCCTTCCTCTCATCCGCCCTTCTCTCTCTCATCCTCTCTACCTCTCATCCTCTCTCCCTCTCATCCGCCCTTCCTCTCGTCCTCCCTTCCTCTCGTCCTCCCTCCCCTTCTTCCGACCTCCCCCTCATCCGCCCTTCCTCTCATCCGCCCATCCTCTCATCCTCCCTTCATCTCATCCTCCTTTCCTCTCATCCTCCCTTCCTCTCATCCGCCCTTCTCTCTCTCATCCTCTCTACCTCTCATCCTCTCTCCCTCTCATCCGCCCTTCCTCTCGTCCTCCCTTCCTCTCGTCCTCCCTCCCCTTCTTCCGACCTCCCCCTCATCCGCCCTTCCTCTCATCCGCCCATCCTCTCATCCTCCCTTCATCTCATCCTCCTTTCCTCTCATCCTCCCTTCCTCTCATCCGCCCTTCTCTCTCTCATCCTCTCTTCCTCTCATCCTCCCGCCCTCTCATCCGCCCTTCCTCTCGTCCTCCCTTCCTCTCGTCCTCCCCCCCCCTTCTTCCGCCCTCCCCCTCATCCGCCCTTCCTCTCATCCACCCATCCTCTCATCCTCCCTTCCTCTCATCCACCCATCCTCTCATCCTCCCTTCATCTTATCCTCCCTTCCTCTTATCCGCCCTTCCTCCAAACCTCCCTTCCTCTCATCCTCCTCTCCTCTCATCCACCCTTCCTCTCGTCCTCCATTCCTCTCGTCCGCCCTTCCTCTCATCCGCCCTTCCTCTCATCCTCCCTTCCTCTCATCCGCCCTTCCTCTCATCCGCCCTTCTCTCTCTCATCCTCCCGCCCTTTCATCCGCCCTTCCGCTCGTCCTCCCTTCCTCTTGTCCTCCCTCCCCTTCTTCCGACCTCCCCCTCATCCGCCCTTCCTCTCATCCGCCCATCCTCTCATCCTCCCTTCATCTCATCCTCCTTTCCTCTCATCCTCCCTTCCTCTCATCCGCCCTTCTCTCTCTCATCCTCCCGCCCTTTCATCCGCCCTTCCTCTCGTCCTCCCTTCCTCTCGTCCTCCCTCCCCTTCTTCCGACCTCCCCCTCATCCGCCCTTCCTCTCATCCGCCCATCCTCTCATCCTCCCTTCATCTCATCCTCCTTTCCTCTCATCCTCCCTTCCTCTCATCCGCCCTTCTCTCTCTCATCCTCCCGCCCTTTCATCCGCCCTTCCTCTCGTCCTCCCTTCCTCTCGTCCTCCCTCCCCTTCTTCCGACCTCCCCCTCATCCGCCCTTCCTCTCATCCGCCCATCCTCTCATCCTCCCTTCATCTCATCCTCCTTTCCTCTCATCCTCCCTCCCTCTCATCCGCCCTTCTCTCTCTCATCCTCTCTACCTCTCATCCTCTCTCCCTCTCATCCGCCCTTCCTCTCGTCCTCCCTTCCTCTCGTCCTCCCTCCCCTTCTTCCGACCTCCCCCTCATCCGCCCTTCCTCTCATCCGCCCATCCTCTCATCCTCCCTTCATCTCATCCTCCTTTCCTCTCATCCTCCCTTCCTCTCATCCGCCCTTCTCTCTCTCATCCTCTCTACCTCTCATCCTCTCTCCCTCTCATCCGCCCTTCCTCTCGTCCTCCCTTCCTCTCGTCCTCCCTCCCCTTCTTCCGACCTCCCCCTCATCCGCCCTTCCTCTCATCCGCCCATCCTCTCATCCTCCCTTCATCTCATCCTCCTTTCCTCTCATCCTCCCTTCCTCTCATCCGCCCTTCTCTCTCTCATCCTCCCGCCCTTTCATCCGCCCTTCCTCTCGTCCTCCCTTCCTCTCGTCCTCCCTTCCCTTCTTCCGACCTCCCCCTCATCCGCCCTTCCTCTCATCCGCCCATCCTCTCATCCTCCCTTCATCTCATCCTCCTTTCCTCTCATCCTCCCTTCCTCTCATCCGCCCTTCTCTCTCTCATCCTCTCTACCTCTCATCCTCTCTCCCTCTCATCCGCCCTTCCTCTCGTCCTCCCTTCCTCTCGTCCTCCCTCCCCTTCTTCCGACCTCCCCCTCATCCGCCCTTCCTCTCATCCGCCCATCCTCTCATCCTCCCTTCATCTCATCCTCCTTTCCTCTCATCCTCCCTTCCTCTCATCCGCCCTTCTCTCTCTCATCCTCTCTACCTCTCATCCTCTCTCCCTCTCATCCGCCCTTCCTCTCGTCCTCCCTTCCTCTCGTCCTCCCTCCCCTTCTTCCGCCCGCCCCCTCATCCGCCCTTCCTCTCATCCAACCTTCCTCTCATCCGCCCTTCCTCTCATCCTCCTTTCCTCTCATCCGCCCTTCCTCTCATCCTCCCGCCCTCTCATCCTCCTTACTTCCCTTCCTTTCGCCCATGGCCCCATCCCTCCACCTGCTTTTCTCGCTGCGTTCACCTTAGGTCTCCCACTGCACTCCTGTCATGACAACATGCACCCCACTCTCCCTTCCACCCTACCTCCGTGCCTCCCTACCTACCTACCATCCCATTCCATTTCCATTCATCCCCCCTGCCTCCTTCCCATCCAGGCTTCGATGGCGAACCATCCAGTGTCGAGTGTGTGTAGCGCATTCAACCAGCGTCATTATACTGTCCACTGGAAACTCAGATCCCCAGTTTGCTACCTGCGTGTGGGGCTAAGCGTGCTTATGCCTGACAATAAAGTGGCTACGCATAACGATATATTATCTGTCTACATGCAAGCTGCGCCACATGTCACAGAGAGGCTAATGAGGGCAGCAAGACACGCAGGTAACCATGGGGAATATGGGTATTTGTCACTTGATACAGTGCTGTAATGTGTACTCCACGTCGTGTACAGTGTGTACTGTGCTCACACGTTGATGTGCTTGCATGGTTTTGCCACAGGTGCGGGTCCTGGGGGAGAGAGCGCTGGCCAAGTTGTGAATTTGCATCTTGAGTCCGACTCGAAGACCTTCTGGCAGCGCATGGGGAGAGGGACCACAACGGTGGAGGATCTGTTAGCGAGGCCAGATAGATCCCTGATAGGTGTAGAGTTTAAGTTTCCAAAATGGGAGAGAGGAAAAAATGGCGAGCCTAGAAGAGTAGAAGGAAACGGATGGGGCGGGGAACGCAACCAAGCTGCAGCAACCGTCCTTCCGGGTGAAGGTAAGAACCTAGTTAGATGCTAGTGTGAAACATGCGTGCTGCGTTTAAACACCGGATCCCCAGGCGAATGAATATCGTTCCACCAAAAACTTCCCTCCCCCTCCCAGCCCTGTGGGCCTGATGCTTGTTTCCCCCGCGGCACTGCCAAGACTAAAACGATCCCGTCCCCCCTGCCACCTGCACTTCTATTCTGCCTATTATCTCTCACCAACCCTAAATCATATTTCTGTCCCTATTCGCTGAATTCTCTTCCCCGTCGCACTGCCCGGAATTCTGTCGCCCCCCGCTCTGCCCTGGATTCTTGTCCTTTCCACCCTCCCCCGACCTGCCTTGAATCCCTTCCCACTCGACTCTTGAGGGATTCAGTTCCCTCTCAACCATCCTGAATTCTGCACTTCATTCCTAAAGTCTCTTCCCCCCATCTCGAATAATGCTTCCGCCCGCCCTAATTCTTGTGAAGAGCGCTGCATGTCAACAGAAACCCCACAAACAAATGAGGACGGACATGGGCCGTGCTTGCCGGCCGAGAACGTGTATGGGGTTGAGGGGGTGAGTGTCGAAGACAATACACAACCGCGAGGCGCTCATTCGAGCGAACAAGCGGGTGGCCCTTCTGAGGGGCCAAACAGGTACAAGCAATAATTGTGTGTTGAAATAATAACCCATATGTTCTTTTCCACATTTATTGATAAGATGGTCAGTAGCACGTGCACACCCTCAGAAAAACCAGTCCAGTTTCTTATCCCGCTTGATTTCTGTGCATGCAGACAGGATGCTGGCAGCGTGACGCGCAAGCGTCGTTGGCCTCGTGGTTGGCCAAACCCCCCAAATTGGGAGGATTTTCCTGCCGACATGGTGTGTTTTCTCGATCCGAGGGTGATGGTATCGTTCTTTTGTGGTCGCACCTTAGGCACGTGCGTGAGGTCTGCGTGCAGAGGTGCAATGCAACTTGAATCGTGGAAGCGGTCATGGGCATGTCTGGGGTTGATGTGGTTGTGCAATGTTTGCTCAGCCAAGGAAGAATTATGGTCAAGTAGTCGAGTGAGAGATGACCTACCTCCCAGCAAGCGTGGTCCACGTAGTCCGCCATTGATGGGTAAGATGATTGGAGCATTCGCTCTTGCCGGGATCGGGTATCAGCAGATGTGGGAGGTATGTCGCACCCTCGGCGTGCCTAGGCCAGGGCATGAAACATATTACATCGGTGTTAATGATAGGGAGAATGCAGAGATGGATAGGGGGAGAGGGTGAGGGGCGGAGATAATGCATCGGTGGATAGGGGGAGAGGGTGAAGGGCGGAGCAGCAGGAGCGGGTGGAGGACTTTGACGTGGGGGGCATAGAGGCATACAACATGCACAGGGGTGACTGTTGAAGGACGGAGGGTTCTCCTTCGGAATCCCACCTATTCGCTGCAAGTTCTTGGTGAGGAGGGGGAAGGAAGGTTCCATTGCACGCCCCGTGTGTCCTGGCCATAGCAGTTTTATCTCCCTGCCTTTCGCTCCCGGTTCCCATTTCTCCGTCAATTTTTAACCGATCCGGGAGAGGGGAGCACACCCATTTCTTCTGTTCCGCCCATCCCTCCTGTCCCATCCTCTCTTGCCTGCCCGTCCTCTCTTCCCCGTCCCATCCTCTCTTCCGTCCCACATTCCCATCTCCCCCTGCATGTCAGCCAACGGAGAGCATGCTGCAGATCTGTGAAGAGAGTGGCCGAGACCTCGCCAGGGAGGTGAGTCATTGCCCTGTCTGCTCTGCATTGCTCATGCTGTCCGTAGTGCACGGAATGCCCGCCGTGGCCGCCCTGTCCGCACCGCACGCACTACACTGAAAGGCACTTCAAAATGTACAGTCAGCGCTGACCCTAGCACTCTGCACCAATTTAAGCATTCTTGTTTCCCGATCACCTTTCTCCACGTCTCTCCACCTCTCTCGGCCCTCCCGCCTCGATCTGTGCTCAGACCCGCAAGGGCAAGGCCAAGCTGCGCAGCACATCAGCCAAGTCACCACCAGCCATTTCCCTTGCTCCCTGCTCACCCCTTCCTCGCCTAACTCCGTCTCTACAGTACTGGCTCCTTCCTTCGATACCACCTCTTCTCCCCCATCTCCTCTCCCTGCCAACATCGTGCCACTCCCCCCCTCCCCCTGCACAAGCACTTGCTTCCAGCCTGTCTTTCCCCTTCTCCTCTCGCAGCCTATCGTATCCCTCTCACGTGTGGGTAATAATGAGCCATAGCCGCACAAGCTGTGGCAGGGTGACGAACAAAGCAGTACACACCGGCAGCTTCCAGGAGACGCATTGTCTTCAATGGTGCAGCATGGAATGTCTTTCATGCCTGTGCCATAATAAGCGACAGCGGCGTCGCCACTGTATGCTCTACTTGCTCCCCCATGGCTAGAAGCTGGGAATTGAAACATTCCCTTCCCCATCCAGTAACATACTTGACTGCACACAAAGGGCTACTTCATTGATCTGGTTGTCGCTTTGCTGTGATGGTCATCCATCTACCTATCACACTATTGCGGACTGTGTAAAAAGAGTAACACATGTAAATACAATAAGTTGTTCCCGATAACCCTCCCTCCTGCACTAAAAATCAGTAAATTCCAGACTCCTGAGTCGCCAGGTGGACAATTGACGATTGTCTAGCATCGATTGACCTCATCCCAAAATCAATCTCGTCAGGGATGACCCATTCCAGGTTGAACCAGTCCACATCGCCTTGACTACATTTTCTGTAACCCACGCCCGTTGGCTCGGGGTAAAGCGAGCCGATCACGACGTGAATTAGCCATGGCAAAGTCACCTGTGCATACTGATGATCACCTAACAAGGCAGAGTATTGAATGTAGCAACGAAAACGATGGTTCTTTGCCCCCATAGGTTGACCATCCATATCCTCATCCGTGTTTTTTCCCAAGCACACCCTCAGAATGCTCGCCACACTAATTCTCTGACTCCCGGGGCCCTCCTCGTCCGACAATCCGAGCCAATGTCGCGCCCAAGCGTCAAGAACACGATATTGCTTGGCATATCGCGCCTCAAACTCAGATATGGACCACCGTTCTTTTGCATATTGAACCTGTGGGGGTAGTCCCGTTGGTTGCACAACTCTTCGAGATCGAACTCTGGGAAAGGGATGCGTTGTGCTCGCGGCAACCGAACGAGTATGGGCGGAGAGGGTGCCCATACTTGCCGTGACCATCGACTCCGGTCCACGTCGCCGACCCCTCTCCTCCTCCTCATCCTCGGAACCCTCCTCCCCAACCCTGAATCCAAGCGTCAGCCGTCTCCGAGGAGTACGTCGCCATGATGACATGGCTGATGAGGTATGTGGTTTAGAGTGTGAGAAACGAGAATATCAGGCAGAAAAACAAGAGAGAGAGAGGGGTTAGGGAGTGAAAGGGGAGGGGGCGGGGGGGCTTCGGTTTCGGATTACGCAAGTCACTGAAGTGAGTTGGATGTGAAGGGGAGGGTGGGCAGGTCAGGAACTGCACGACAGGTCCGGCAGCTGGACGAGGGAAGGAGACCGTATAGTTGGTCCTCCGGATCGGAGGACCATGAGAACGAACTCTGATAAGGTTTGGAGCAGCGTAGCAAAGGAAGAAAGGGGTGCCAAACCAAAACCACGAGTGAAGGTAGGGGTGCTGGGAAATAAAGGGGCGTGGACTTACAGCGCAAGGACTGAAGCCGGGTTCACAGGCCGCTGTGAAGCAAAGGAAGAAAGGGGAAGAGAGAGGAATGGGAGGGGACGGGTCAATTGCGGATGGGAAAGAGGAGAAGTGAGAGGAATAGTGGTACTATGTGTGCGCCGGTGACGGGAGAGGAATAGGAGGGGACGGGGCAAGTGCGGATGGGAAAGAGGGGTTTGCAGATTTAATTACAAAGAGGTTCGGAGGATGGCAAGGGAGAGATGGCAGATGGGAAGTAAGGCTAATCAGAAACTCAGGATGCGAGGGTGCTGCGATGGAAGAGAGGAGAGGTGGGATGGAAGGGATTGAGGATGGGCAACCCAGAAAGGGGACGGCATGGGAGCTAGAATGGCACCCACGGCAACTCGGTATAATGCAGGGGGATTTCCAACATGGGAAGGCGGTGAGGGTGCTCGCGTATGAGCTTGTGGGACGCGGGGACCCTAAACCCCTAAACTAATGTGAGAGAAGTAGGAAAGGGAGAGTGATGGTTCAGTGTGGAAAAGGGCAATGGGACGGCTAATAGGGGTGATGGAAAGTAGTGTTAAGGGGCTGTGATTTGGAGGAAATATAAGGCAGGGAGAGCACGAGAGGAATGAAGCATCAACCGAGGGACCATATTGAACCTGTGTGGGCAGGAAGATTAGGGATGGAGACTGTGTAATAGGTTCTTGAAATGGGACGGCTGGGGGTTGGGAAGGTAGGGGTGCAGAGATGGAAGGGGGGAGGGCTCCCATCTAAAGAACCGGCGTCGGGTGCACGGCGCTTGAGTAGCAACAGAAGATCGGGGCGAGTGAGCTGGCGTAGTAGGGGACGGGGGAAGTGCGGATGGGAGGGAGGGAATTGCAGAATTGATGTCAAGGTGCTGTGGATGGCTAGTGATGGATGTCAGATTTGAAGACAGAATACTCAGAAACTATGAATAATGAGGTGGGAATCCCAATGTGGGGAAGCTGTGAGGAGGGTGGTGTCAGAACATTTGGGATGCGAGGCAAAAAATAGGGTGATAAACAGGGAGGGAGGGTGACAGTTGAGTGGGATGGAAGGGAGTGAGGGGGCAAAGATGAGTAGAGGGGGACAAGAGGAGCAGAGGAGGGAAAGAGGAGCAGAGAGCGAAGGAGCCTCACAGGAGAAAAGTGGAGCTGGGCGGAAAAAGAGGGGCATAGGGGGAACAGCGGAGCTTCGGGTTGGAAGTGGTGCAGAAAGGAGAAGGACCAGCGGAAGGGGGTAAGATGAGCATATGGGGACAAGAGGAGCAGAGGGGGAGCGAGGGCGTACATGTGGGAAATAGAGGGCGTGCAACGAGGGTTTTCTGCGGGCGTGCAGGGGGACTGCGGAAGCACCGCCGTTGCAAGAGTGTGGGCGGGGGTGAGGGCAAAAGACGCGATCAGCGACGCCAACGGAGGCTGTCGCGAGACGCGGAGGCAGCGTGGAGAGAGAAGGTGAAGTCCCTCACGCCTCCTAGATCCTCACTGTTGGTGATTTGGAGGAAAGGAGGACGCAATGTGAGTAGAAAGGTGGACGTGCGGTGAGTTGAAAGGAGGACGCAAGGTGAGGAGAGAGGAGGACGCGAGGTGAGGAGAGAGGAGGACGCGAGGTGAGGAGAGAGGAGGACGTGAGGTGAGGAGAGAGGAGGACGTGAGGTGAGGATAGAGGAGCACGCAAGGTGAGGAGAGGGGAGGACGCGAGGTGAGGAGAGAGGAGGACGCGAGGTGAGGAGAGAGGAGGACGCGAGGTACAGGAAAGAGGTGCACGCATGGTGTGGAGAGAGGAGCACGTGAGGGGAGGCGAGAGGAGCACGCTAGGGATGGTGAGAGGAGGACGCGCGGGGAGGCAAGAGGAGCGCGTGCGGGGGGGCGATAGGATGCCGCGCGAGTGGCAAGAAGAGCGCACGCGGGAGGCGAGAGGATCTCGCGCGGGCTTACCAGGCACGTGCGCGCGCTGGGAGGAGAAACGTGTGCGTGTGCACGGGATTCCCGAGTGAGGAAACGTGGGCGCCCCTGTCAGGATAGTGGGAAGTGGTAGGGACCCGCATACGTCGAAAGTGGGTGGTAGCGGAGCCATTTCACGAAGCGTCGCAAGGAGACGGTCCCTCCCTTTAATCCAGTATGGTCGCATGTATTGTGAGGAGAGAGGCGCACGCAAGGTGAGGAGAGAGGAGCACGCAAGGTGAGGAGAGAGGAGGCCTCAAGGTGAGGAGAGAGGAGCACGCAAGGTGAGGATAGAGGAGCACGCAAGGTGAGGATAGAGGAGCACGCAAGGTGAGGATAGAGGAGCACGCAAGGTGAGGAGAGGGGAGCACGCAAGGTGAGGAGAGGGGAGCACGCAAGGTGAGGAGAGGGGTGCACGCAAGGTGAGGAGAGGGAGCACGCAAGGTGAGGAGAGGGGAGCACGCAAGGTGAGGAGAGGGGAGCACGCAAGGTGAGGAGAGGGGAGCACGCAAGGTGAGGAGAGGGGAGCACACAAGGTGGGGAGAGGGAGCACGTAAGGTGAGGAGAGGGGAGCACGCAAGGTGAGGAGAAGGGAGCACGCAAGGTGAGGAGAGGGGAGCACGCAAGGTGAGGAGAGGGGAGCACGCAAGGTGAGGAGAGGGGAGCACGCAAGGTGAGGAGAGGGGAGCACGCAAGGTGAGGAGAGGGAGCACGCAAGGTGAGGAGAGGGGAGCACGCAAGGTGAGGAGAGGGGAGCACGCAAGGTGAGGAGAGGGAGCACGCAAGGTGAGGAGAGGGGAGCACGCAAGGTGAGGAGAGGGGAGCCCACGCAGGGTGAGGAGAGGGGAGCACGCAAGGTGAGGAGAGGGAGCACGCAAGGTGAGGAGAGGGGAGCACGCAAGGTGAGGAGAGGGAGCACGCAAGGTGAGGAGAGGGGAGCACGCAAGGTGAGGAGAGGGGAGCACGCAAGGTGAGGAGAGGAGCCAGTGAGGAGAGGGGAGCACGCAAGGTGAGGAGAGGGGAGCACGCAAGGTGAGGAGAGGGGAGCACGCAAGGTGAGGAGAGGGGAGCACGCAAGGTGAGGAGAGGGGAGCACGCAAGGTGAGGAGAGGGGAGCACGCAAGGTGAGGAGAGGGGAGCACGCAAGGTGAGGAGAGGGAGCACGCAAGGTGAGGAGAGGGGAGCACGCAAGGTGAGGAGAGGGGAGCACGCAAGGTGAGGAGAGGGGAGCACGCAAGGTGAGGAGAGGGGAGCACGCAAGGTGAGGAGAGGGGAGCACGCAAGGTGAGGAGAGGGAGCACGCAAGGTGAGGAGAGGGGAGCACGCAAGGTGAGGAGAGGGGAGCACGCAAGGTGAGGAGAGGGGAGCACGCAAGGTGAGGAGAGGGGAGCACGCAAGGTGAGGAGAGGGGAGCACGCAAGGTGAGGAGAGGGGAGCACGCAAGGTGAGGAGAGGGGAGCACGCAAGGTGAGGAGAGGGAGCACGCAAGGTGAGGAGAGGGGAGCACGCAAGGTGAGGAGAGGGGAGCACGCAAGGTGAGGAGAGGGGAGCACGCAAGGTAAGGAGAGGGAGCACGCAAGGTGAGGAGAGGGGAGCACGCAAGGTGAGGAGAGGGGAGCACGCAAGGTGAGGAGAGGGAGCACGCAAGGTGAGGAGAGGGGAGCACGCAAGGTGAGGAGAGGGGAGCACGCAAGGTGAGGAGAGGGGAGCACGCAAGGTGAGGAGAGGGGAGCACGCAAGGTGAGGAGAGGGAGCACGCAAGGTGAGGAGAGGGGAGCACGCAAGGTGAGGAGAGGGGAGCCCACGCAGGGTGAGGAGAGAGGGGCACGCGCAAGGTTGGCGATCGAAGAGCATTGGAGGTGAGGAGAGAGGGGCACGCGCGGGGAGGCGAGAGGAGCACGCAGGGTGAGGAGTGAGGAGCACGCGCGGGGAGGCGTGGGAGGCATGCAAGGTGAAGAGAGAGGAGAACGAGTAGGTGAGGAGAGAGGAGCACGCGCGGGGAGGCTTGAGGGGCGCGCGAGGGGAGGCGAGAGGAGAACGAGTAGGTGAGGAGAGAGGAGCACGCGCGGGGGGCCTTGAGGGGCGCGTGAGGGGAGGCGAGAGGAGAACGAGTAGGTGAGGAGAGAGGAGCACGCGCGGGGAGGCTTGAGGGGCGCGCGAGGGGAGGCGAGAGGAGAACGAGTAGGTGAGAAGAGAGGAGCACGCGCGGGGAGGCGAGAGGGGCGCGCGAGGGATGGCGGGAGGAGGCTGCGCGGGGAGGCGAGAGGCGGCCGCGCGGGGAGGCAAGAGATTCGCGAGCATTGAAGGCGAGAGGAGCACGCGAGGGGAGGCGAGAGGAGCACGCGCGAGATGGTGAGAGGAGGCCGAGCGGGGCGGTAAGAGGAGCGCGCGCTGGGATGCGATGGGATACCGCGCGGAAGGCGAGAAGAGCGCGCGCGGGGTGGCGAGAGGTTCCCGCGCGGGCTTACCGGAACGGTGCGCGCGCAGGGAGGAGAAACGTGGGCTTGAGAAACGGGCTTCCCGCGCGTGGAATCGTGGGCCTGACTGTCAGGATAGCGGGGCGTTGTGGGGACACGACGACGCTGAAAGTGGGTGGTCGCGGAGTGGTGCACGAAGCGCCGCAATGGGGCACGACGACGAGGAAGCAATGGGAGGGGATAGGGGTAAGGACGATGGGAGGGCAATGGCGACGGGGACCACGGGGGAAACGAGGGTGACGGTGCGTCAAGGGGGAGGCCGATGTGAGGGGATTTCCTCCCTACGCCTCTTGATCCTGTTTAGCGCGACGTCTCGTAATATGGGATTCGAGCATTTTACGCTTGTGACGAGCGCATTCCTAAATTTCGTGTTGCATCGGGGTTGAAGGTGGGAATGTGCTAGGGGCAAAAGCTTAGAGTCTCGCTTAGTAGCCGCACAGGCATTCCTGAATTACCATTTCTAGGCAAACTGTGCACAGGCAGTTCCCTTCTTCCTTCAGCAGGGGTGGTTGGAAGTCTCGCCAAGTTGAAGCGTTCTGCTCTACGACGCGGTCTTTGTGGGGTGCGACGTTTTCTGGTAACCCCACTGGCTCGGGAGGTGTTCATTGGGCTCGGAAGGCAAACTGTGCACAGTTTGCCCTTTTTGATTTGTAATTCAGGTCTTGGGCTTTAAGATTGTTTGTTCCCAACAGTAGTCACTCTGGTTTTTTTTTTCATACAAGTGCATGTATTTGCGATTTTGCAAATGCATATTACTTGGTGTGGGGGCATACCCTCTACGGAATTTGCATTCTCTGAGCAGTTTGCTGTCGTTATTCGTCAGATGACGTGTCATTGTCGCACACTGCTATAGCGGTGAAGTAGAAAATTACGTCGCCGGGATGAAAGGCAAGCTGCGGGGCGCATAGGCGAACCGCGCAATTAGTGTGCAGATGGATTGCTGTTCGGACCAACAGCTTTCCGAAATTCCGAGTTTCCTGCTTCGCCATTGTTGGTAGGTCAATGGACTTTTATTACGTGTTTTCGTTGAAATACGGGGTGACGACGACCACCTCACTGCTGTTCCCTTGAAGTTCTAGTTCGCCAAGCACACTGCTTCGCGAACACAGTACACGTAATTGCACCACCAGAAGAGCCAGCAGACACGTCTTATGCACACAGAATGCTCCTCACACTCCACAGATCCTCTTCAGCGCAATAACAGCACCAATAATCGCGCGCTTTGAATCCTTACCTGGCGCAATGAGCATCGCCCTGCCCACAATCCACAACGTCCTTCACAGCGCAATAATCGCACCAATAATCGAGCGCTTCGAAGTTCATTACCTGGCGCAATGAACTATCGCAGAAGCCGTCCGATGGCCCCCCACAATTGTGAGCTCGCAGTACTATTTAGCCGCTCGTCCTCCGATCATATCCATCAGTAGCCTTCGGTTCAAGGCCACCAAGTGCAAATACTCATACTGTTAATATTGTTCAAAATCGCCAACAGCCATGGCTGCGCTTCGAGTTTTCCTGGTGCTTCTTTGTACGCTTCTAGTCGCCGTGCACCTTCCCGCGGCCGTAATGGCGGATCTCGTGATTCCCAGCCTCGCCTCAATTTTCGGGCAGGGCCTCCTCGGCTCAGGCAAGGCGCTTTCGGGAGACGTGCGTGAAGGCACGAATGTGAGAGCGCTCCGCTATAAGATGCGCGCTCTCATGGAGGTACGCGAGGACTCGCCGCATGCGGGGGCTGTTCGCGATATGGCGGCGGACGCTATGCTCTCCGCGCTGCAGGGGGAAGGCGCGGATGCTGACGTGGCAGGGGAGAAGACGAGGAGGATGCTGAAGAGGGAGAAGGGCGAGAATAAGGGGAAGGATGAGGGGCATGATTGGAGGAATGAGGAGAGGAAGGATGAGGGGAATAAGAGGAAGGATGAGGGAAATAAGAGGAAGGATGAGGAGAATAAGAGGAAGGATGAGGAGAATAAGAGGAAGGATGAGGAGAATAAGAGGAAGGATGAGGGGAATAGGAGGAAGGTTTAGGAGAATGGGAGGAAGGACGAGGAGAATAGGAGGAAGGACGAGGAGAATAGGAGGAAGGACGAGGAGAATAGTAGGAAGGACGAGGAGAATAGGAGGAAGGACGAGGAGAATAAGAGGAAGGACGAGGAGAATAAGAGGAAGGACGAGGAGAATAAGAGGAAGGACGAGGAGAATAAGAGAAAGGATGACGAAGAGAATAAGAGGAAGGATGAGGAGAATAAGAGGAAGGACGAGAAGAATAAGAGGAAGGACGAGGAGAATATGAGGAAGGACGAGGCGAATAAAAGGAAGGACGAGGCGAATAAAAGGAAGGACGAGGCGAATAAAAGGAAGGACGAGGAGAATAAGAGGAAGGACGAGGAGAATAAGAGGAAGGATGAGGAGAATAAGAGGAAGGATGAGGAGGAGAATAAGAGGAAGGACGAGGAGAATAAGAGGAAGGACGAGGAGAATAAGAGGAAGGACGAGGAGAATAAGAGGAACTAGGGAATAAGAGAGAATACGAAAGCACCTAGGAGAAAAAGAGGGACGAGGGAAGGTGGCGAATAAGGCGAAGGTGATGAAGCACGCGAAGGTGGCGGAGGCGAATAAGCTGCAGGCCAAGGCCAAGGCACTCCGCTGCTTGATAAGAGCAACAAGTGAAGGACGAGGCAGGAGTACCAGGAAAGCAGATGATAGGTGTATGTCCCTACAAATGCCCTGTCATTCTGGCTCCCGCTACCCTCTCCTGTTTGGTTCATTGCTGTAACTGCTCTTCAATACCGTAAATGGTTGATATAGTGAGTCAAATCTGTAACTGCTCTTTAATAAATGGTTGATAGTGAGTCAAATATGTAACTGCTATTTAATAAATGGTTGATATAGTGAGTCAAATATGTGCCTTTACAAACCTAATATGAATATAACAATCAACGATCTGGTTTCAGGCATGGGTCTAGGTATATGCTCAGTTTATTTAATGAAAGTTCGAATTTGTTGAGATCTGCTTCCAGAGATATTTTTCAAGACACATAAAATTCCGTACAAAAAATGTCACATGTTAGCATTTACATCGTCCATCGTGTTGTTATTCTTTTATGCAAATACACCATGTATCGTCCAGCTTATCGAAAAACGCTTTCTGTACTCCAGTTTATGTTAAGGGAAAATATGTGAATGGTAACTTACATGGGGCACTGTAACACGTACGATAACGATTTCATCGCGTTTGGTAACCCGCTTAACGTATTTGGAAACTTGCTTAACGCGTTTGGTAACTAGCTTAACACGTTTGGTAACTATACACTAGCAGCCCATCACGCGAATGGTAACTTTGATGAAATCAGCTCTGACATGACCCTGATTTGACGGTTTCCCGCTCGCGCCAAACCAATCCACGAGCTGTGATGCACCCACGTCCTCCTGAACCACGTACGCCACTCAACCGAACCAGAACCAAGCGTATTGTACACCGCGTGCACACTAAGATCAACCCAACCTGCAAACTCCATCAGATGGGAAAATATGTGAATGGTAACTTACATGGGGCACTGTAACACGTACGATAACGATTTCATTGCGTTTGGTAACCCGCTTAACGTATTTGGTAACTTGCTTAACGCGTTTGGTAACTAGCTTAACACGTTTGGTAACTATACACTAGCAGCCCATCACGCGAATGGTAACTTTGATGAAATCAGCTCTGACATGACCCTGATTTGACGGTTTCCCGCTCGCGCCAAACCAATCCACGAGCTGTGATGCACCCACGTCCTCCTGAACCACGTACGCCACTCAACCGAACCAGAACCAAGCGTATTGTACACCGCGTGCACACTAAGATCAACCCAACCTGCAAACTCCATCAGATGGGAAAATATGTGAATGGTAACTTACATGGGGCACTGTAACACGTACGATAACGATTTCATCGCGTTTGGTAACCCGCTTAACGTATTTGGTAACTTGCTTAACGCGTTTGGTAACTAGCTTAACACGTTTGGTAACTATACACTAGCAGCCCATCACGCGAATGGTAACTTTGATGAAATCAGCTCTGACATGACCCTGATTTGACGGTTTCCCGCTCGCGCCAAACCAATCCACGAGCTGTGATGCACCCACGTCCTCCTGAACCACGTACGCCACTCAACCGAACCAGAACCAAGCGTATTGTACACCGCGTGCACACTAAGATCAACCCAACCTGCAAACTCTATCAGATTGCTCCCCGTCATCCTGCTCTAGCCCTATCACTCTCGACACTAACTTAGTAAGGACTTCTTAGCAGACTTATTACCCCCCATCAGATTCACGGAAGCTCGAGTTACAGCTGATCCATATCAGAGGTGCGTCTCACTCCCTTTCTCTTCCCTATATGCTGAACCTACTCGAATCTATCCATTCTTCGAAATTCTGAATGATCGCCGCTGGGCGCATAGCGCCTGTCTCGCGGCCAGCGCTATGCGCCCAGCGGAATGCTCGCCGCTGGGCGCATAGCGCGCATCTCGCGGCCCCAGCGGAATGCTCGCCGCTGGGCGCGTAGCGCGCATCTCGCGGCCAGCACTATGCGCCCAGCGGAATGCTCGCCGCTGGGCGCGTAGCGCGCAACTCGCGGCCAGCGCTATGCGCCAAGCTATGCGCATTCCGCTGGGCGCATTGCGCCTCTCTCGCGGCCAGCAATGCGCTCAGCGGATCGCTCACCGCTGGGCGCATTGCGCCTCTCTCGCGGCCAGCAATGCGCTCAGCGGATCGCTCACCGCTGGGCGCATTGCGCCTCTCTCGCGGCCAGCAATGCGCTCAGCGGATCGCTCACCGCTGGGCGCATTGCGCCTCTCTCGCGGCCAGCAATGCGCTCAGCGGATCGCTCACCGCTGGGCGCATTGCGCCTCTCTCGCGGCCAGCAATGCGCTCAGCGGATCGCTCACCGCTGGGCGCATTGCGCCTCTCTCGCGGCCAGCAATGCGCTCAGCGGATCGCTCACCGCTGGGCGCATTGCGCCTCTCTCGCGGCCAGCAATGCGCTCAGCGGATCGCTCACCGCTGGGCGCATTGCGCCTCTCTCGCGGCCAGCAATGCGCTCAGCGGATCGCTCACCGCTGGGCGCATTGCGCCTCTCTCGCGGCCAGCAATGCGCTCAGCGGATCGCTCACCGCTGGGCGCATTGCGCCTCTCTCGCGGCCAGCAATGCGCTCAGCGGATCGCTCACCGCTGGGCGCATTGCGCCTCTCTCGCGGCCAGCAATGCGCTCAGCGGATCGCTCACCGCTGGGCGCATTGCGCCTCTCCCTCCAGCGCTATTCGCCCTGCGGAATCAGCGCTGCTTGGCGCATAGCTGTTCTCTCGCGGCCAGCACTATGCGCTCAGCGGTGAGCAATCCGCTGGGCGCATTGCGCCTCTCTCGCGGCCAGCGCTATGCGCTCAGCGGTGAGCTCACCCTTTCCTTGCTATTACTCAACCCCGCCACTCTCTCTCTCTCTCTCCTCTCTCTCCCCCCTCTCCCTCCCCACCGGTACTACGGCAGGTGTTTGCAGGCTTCTTCGCCTCACAGCCATTCCGCTTTGAGCCATACGACCTACTCACCAACATCGTCAAGGTGCGCCCACTCCCTCACTTCACTTTGCTTGAACTGCCCTGCCCTTGATGACTTCCAGAAACATGTGACTGCTCCCCCGTGGGGGCTCACCGCTCACCAACCTCATCCAGGTTTAGGGACTCACTCACTGCACTTCAACTTCCCTGCCTTAGGCGTCTCTCTCGCGGCCAGCTATGCGCCCAGCGCAGAATGAGAGACCGCAGGCCGAGTATTTTACCCTCTCATCCCCGATCATGCAATCCCTTGCCTTATGTCAGGTCAGGCCATGCACGTGCATGTTTCAGAATAGAACGGGCATGTTTCAGACCATGCACATGCAAATATCAGTATGGGATGGCACGGGATGAGCTCGGGGATCAGAATTCACTGGGATGGCTACCTTGCCCACCTCCCCCCAAACCCCAAACCCCAAGGCTCCGTGGGGATGAACAGGCCTGGCCAAACCGGGCCAGGCCTAACATGCCAGGCCTGGCCGAACCTGGCCAGCACCCGGCCAGACCGCTGAGTGAGGGGGAAAGAGTGGGGGATGATGGAGGAAGCACGCTTGTATTCAGCCCCCCACATTCCCTCTCGTTATTTCTCTCGCCCTACTCTTCCCTCTCATCCTCTCTCGTCCACTATCCGGCCCTCGAATTCCGGGTTTAAGTCATTCCCTTTACAGACTTGTTATTCCGTCGGGTTTTGTCCCCTCCCCTATCTTCCTCTCTCATCCCCTCTCATTCTGATCCCATGTCCTACCATTCATCCCAGCGGTGGGTTGATGCCCTCTCATTTACTATCACGCTGTATCTTTCCCTCACATGCAGTTTTGTCCGACCTTAAACATTGCGAATAAAAATTATTGTCCCTTCACTTCATCTCTAATCCCTAACCCTACCCCCTCTCCCCCTCTTTTTCTCTCCTATCTCATGTGATTCCCTCTTTATCGATCCCAAATGCACAACGTCCCCTCCTATCCCCCCTCAATCTCTGTGCTTATGCGTTAATTTCCCGTCAGATGCTTAGCCATTCTCTACCTTGCATTCTTTTCCCATTCCGCCAAATCCCTCTTAACCTCTCCTATTGTAGGTGTCCATCCCATGCCATGCCATGGCATGGCTTGCATTGCTATGCGACGTGGTGCCATGATCCTCCATCACATAATATAATAGGTTTCCACTGTGACATGTCATGCCATGCCATGCTATGCCACACCACACCACACCACACCACACCACACCACACCACACCACACCACACCACACCACTCGAAATCGTTTTATAAAGAACACATGATCACATAATTCCCACATCACATTTCGTTCCACCGACCTACCCTTTCCGAACCTGCCCTCCAGGCTCGACGACCGAGTGAGGCTCGGGTGGAAGCTGACAGCCAAGAGAAGCGGCCAGGTGGCAGCGGCTCCCTGCTGTCCTACGACACTCCCGAGGGCGCCAAGTAGCTCTCTGCACGCTGCCTGCTGCTCACCGTGCCCACATACGTTGCTGCTGACCTCCTCAAGCCCTACTCGGTGAGCATTCCCCCTGCTCTCTTGCAAACGTGCCTTGGGCAGCTGCACCCGCGCACCCAGGGGATCGTCACTCCCCTGGGTACAGGTTAAGTAGGATGTTTGGGGAGGAGTTGGATGAAGGAGCCTACGGAGTACTAAACACGAGGTGGGTGGGAAGTGAAGGGAGCTCAAGGGCTTTGGGCAGCTGCACCCGCGCACCCAGGGAATCGTCACTCTGGGTGAGGCATAGGTTGCCAGGCAAGCTTGAGGTTGGTTGGGGGATGGTTCACAGAGATGGTTGAGGGGATGGGCGAGAGGGATGGGCGGGAGGGATGGACGAGAGGGATGGTACGAGAGAGGGGGGAGCCTAGGCGATACCGGCAGACCGCATCTAGTATACTAATCTGTTCCACGATATATCTCACTTTTTCCCTGCCTGGGCTCCATGCTCCTTGCTGTGACCACTGCCCATTCTTTTTAAGTCCAGCCACTTTCTGATACATGCTCCACCCTCCTTTGTCCCAACTGTGCTTCATACTACTGTCTGTGCCTGCCCTCCCTCCCCTGTTCTATTTCCTGTCTCCCGACCGAGCCTCATCCTCCTTGCTCTCTCCCATTGCCGTATGACCTCCCTCCCCTCCCTCTCACACCCCTTGACCCCTCACCAGGTACCATCTACAGCTCGGTGCTCTTTCCCAACCGGGCTCCGGGCGGCCGTGTGCTGCTGCTGTGCTACCTTGGGGGGGCGTGCAACACTGCCCTCACTCGTCAGCTTATCTGACCTCATAGCCCTACTCTCACCTACTCTCATTATCGTTCAGAGCTTGAGACCTCTGCTGTGGTGATCATATCTCGCATCCAGCGTTCCAGGTGCGACCTCATTCCTGAAGATCAGTTTGTATTATATCAAACGCTATGACAAAGCAATTGTGATTAACACCTGTACCAATACACCTGGATATGTAGCATAATAGTTCTACTCCATTCCTCCTATTTTCGAACCCCCAGAGTCCTTCAACAGCGTATGGGTGATGCAGTCAACATCTACCTAGGGAAGGTCTACACTAATGCAAGCGTGGCGAGGGAGGAGCTGTTGTTGTTCTGTCGGCAGCATATGATTGTGCCGCGCTTTCTTTATAGCCGCCCAAACCTCATAGTGTTGCAGTGTAACACAGTGCACCGCCATCCGACTGTGGCGTTGCACAGTGAGGAGGATGGGCTGTGCTCATTTCGTGTTGTCATAAGGGGAGTTGGTAGCGGCAGCCTCGAGGTAACGGTGCCAAGATTAGAGCATGACGTTTGGTGTACCGCCAGCCGTGCAATTGTATGAGTAGAGGTTGTTATGAGATAGTGCTGTTGTGCAATGAGATATCATGAAAAGCAAGATGACTTGGAGGGGTAGGACAGGTTGGCACATTTGCATGGGCACAGTGTAGATCGTGAGATGCTGTCTAAGCTAATGGCGTGTTGTACCGTAATTCAAACCATTGTTAGCTCCAGGTTTGTAGAACTACGATTACCCAAACATCACAGGACAAATACACATGTCTTCGCAACAAGAGGCTTCTGTATGTGGTTGTTATGGAGTTCGAGAAATCCCGATGCATGGCAAACACGAACATAACACTTCCCTTCCCACATCTTGTTGTATAAATGCCCACCAACCATGACTTTTCAATCATGATGACACACTAGGCAAGCTGGGCCATGTTGTTGTATGCTCACTAGATGCTCACCTATTATTGTCATTCTTGTCACACTAGGCTTGAATTTTAGAATGTACATAACGTTAAGTGTCAACACCATCTTGGCTCTTACTGTGGACAAACACTGGTGGCCATTGCCCTTTTCCGCCTACGGTACTTCTCTGGCTTTTGCCCATTCTGTCACTCTCTCTTCCTATCCATCCCCAGCTTCTCAGGTTGATTCGTGATTTATTACAGGTGCGCTATATCCGGGATGAGACACCTTGTGTTCTGGGCTCTTGCTACCGATGAGTTTAGGGGGCGTAAGCTCTCTTTTTGTGCGTGAAATAGAATATACAGCGTAGCATGTTACGAACGAAACCAGCCTATCTGATTTACAGGGTGGAATGTGAGTTGAGTCATATTCACCAATGTACAAGTAAAGTCTCACACACAATTTAATGTGAACCTAGCAAGTGTATACTTGACTAATTGTGCTGATGGTTATATAGATATGTAAACCTACAAGAGGAGGATCGGTGGGACGCACGTTTGAAGTCTGTCACAGTCCTTCTATTAAAAAAAAGACATAATGCACACCTAAGCTGCTGGGTATTGCCATCACCGTTGTCAGCTCCACCCTGTTCTGTTGACCAAGTACGAACTCCAGTCACCAACCCGTCCACCCGACTCTGCTGTGGCAGACCTACATGGCTCCAACGGTTTAGGATGCCTCCTGCGTTCTCCTGCATTGGCATCCCATACAATCCCCACCGTTGATCGATACCACTGTTACTAAATTGCCTTTGTAACAACCCTCCCATTCCCTGCTGCCCGCCCATTCCCCGCTGCCCGCCCATTCCCTGCTGCCCGCACCTTCCCTGCTGCCCACCCCTTCCTTGTGGCCCTCCCATTCCCTGTGGCCCTCCCAATATCTGCGGCTCTCCCATTCTCTGCCGCCCAACCATTCTCTGCTGCCCGCCCATTCCCTGCTGCCCGCCCTGTCCCTGCTGCCCGCCCATCCCCTGCTGCCCGGCCAAACCCTGCTGCCCGCCCCTTCTCTGTGCCCCTCCCATTCCCTGTGCCCCTCCCATTCCCTGTGCCCCTCCCATTCCCTGTGGCCCTCCCATTCCCTGTGGCCCTCCCATTCCCTGTGCCCCTCCCATTCCCTGTGCCCCTCCCATTCCCTGTGCCCCTCCCATTCCCTGTGGTCCTCCCATTCCCTGTGCCCCTCCCATTCCCTGTGCCCCTCCCATTCCCTGTGGCCCTCCCAATGTCTGCGGCTCTCTCATTCTCTGCCGCCCTCCCATTCCCTGCTGCTCGCCCATTCCCTGCTGCCCTCCCAAACAATCTGGCCCCCCCATTCCCTGCTGCCAACCCATTCCCGGTGCCCCCCCCATTCCCTCCTGCCAACCCATTCCCAGTGGTCCCCCCATTCCCTGCTGCCCACACGTGCCATGCTGCCCTTGCATTCCCGGCTGCCCTTCCAACCCTTGAAGCCCTCCCGTTTCCTGCTGCCCATCCCTCCCTTGCTGCCCTCCCCTTCCTTGCCTCCCTCCTCTCCCTTGCTGCCCCCCCCTTCCTTGCCTCCCTCCTCTCCCTTGCTGCCCTCCCCTTCCTTGCCTCCCTCCTCTCCCTTGCTGCCCTCCCCTTCTTTGGCGCCCTCCCCTATCAGGACCTTCCAAACAATCTGCGTCTCCACCTTCTTCTGTGGAAGACACCACCCCGGACCTGCCTCTACCTCTCCCTCCACCCCTTCTCTGTTGACTTCTACCTCGACCACGCCCTTCCTCCGAACGCCCCACATGCACATCGTCGTCGCCTACGTGCCCCACCACTTCCCTCTGTATGTTGAGACATTGCAACCTCCGTAATCGCCCCCGAACCACGTCGTCCACACTCCTCAGGCCACCCCCCCTTGAAGTTCCCTCACATGTACTACTTCCTTGCGCACCGCCCAAGTGCAACCCTTCGGAACCGGCCCCCATATCATCCGTCGCTGTTTCGGGAGGGAGATCCCCGGCAGGTACAGGCACCCTCCCAAATATTTCCGTCAACACCGAATCTGCCGGTGTGCTCCCATTCTCCTCTCCATCCCCCTCATCTTCCCCGCTGCCCGACTCCTCGTCCGGTTCGCTCTCATCGTCACTCTCACCAGTGGTATGGATACAACGAATACCTCTCCGATGACTTCGGTTACATGCGCTACAGGGGGCTACATGTACCGCGCCATCCGCCGTGGTCATCGTCTGCACAGCCAATTGCCCTGCTGGGGTATGTACTGCCTCCCACAACACCCGGTTCGCAGCCCGGACCTCACATGTCCTAGAGTTATGCCCCATCTCACCACATTTGCCACACTTGCGTAGTTTGATAGGGTCGACCTCTCCTGTCGAGCGAATCCTGTTCTTTTTTGGCCGGCCCGCCCTTTTGGAGTAGACTGGCGGTAGAGTAATGCCATCCGGGATCACTGACGTGGGGTCGAGGGTCCAAATCGGGGTCTTGTACACCTGCTGCAGCACCGAAACCGTGTGGCTGTTGTGTATCACAGCGTGGGCCTTGTGCCCTGCATTCTTGAACACAGCAAAAAAGTGGACGCACGGCAGCCCATACTCCCTGTTGTTGGGGTATGGGGGTATTGGTGTCGTGGAATAGGGTGGTTGGTTATCGAAATGATTGGTCAAAGAAACACATACACATAGTCATGCGCTCAAGCTGTAGACGTAAAGAAACAGTCCCATATGTGGCATACAGTCCCTCCCATCCATGGCTACCACTTTTTCCCTTGCTGCCCCCCCTTATGTTGTCATCCCCCTTTCGCATGCAGCCCTACATTCGCTTGCTGATCCAGCCCGTGTTGTTTGGCACAATATCCCTCCCTCCATGTTGTTTGGCACAATATCCCTCCCTCCATCGATCTGACCCCCTCTCCTACTGCCTCCCTTTCCATTGTTGCCCTCCTATGCCCTTCCTTGCTGACCCCATTTCTTGCTGCCCCCATCTCCCTTGATGCCCTGCAAGCTCCCCCCCCCCCCGCCCCCATGCTGTCTTCACATTCCCTGGTGCTCCCCAAACCTTGCTGCCCCCATTCCCTTGCTGCCTGCCCTACTTATTGCACCCCTTGCCCTTGCTGGGCTCCCATGTCTTACCTGGTGTAACCACACGTGCAGCTGGTTGCTGAAGGATTGTTGGGGTTAGTAGTCACGACTCTCAATTCCACCTTCAGCTCCCCCTCTCCTCGGCTCACAACGAACCGGTACTCGCCGGACCCTTCAGCATCGTATCTCTTCCCTTCGTCGCAGTTTGCCTTGATAATTGGTCGTGTCCTTGGCGGGAAGACCGCATCAGTGAGTTGTGAGTACTCGAGGCGCCTCTTTTCAATACTCTTTGAGAGCTTGGCCGTCAAGAGGTGCAACACTTGAGGGGGACTTTTGTCACGCAGCCCTGAGAGTGATGCGTGGTGTGACTCAACGGGGTTGGAGGTCATGCAGCCAAAACGCGGAGCACCAAAGTGCGCCGAGGCCCACTTCTTATGCAAATCGTTGTCAACAAGATATGCCTTCCCACCAGGGCATTCTTGCTCGATTTTCTCCATCGTTTTGTGGTAAACCCCCGGAGTAAGAGCCGCTGCAGCTGCGAGGATCCTCCCATCCAAGTCTGTCCGAAACTTGTTTTTGAAATTGCGCACCAAATGAGTGATGCAATATGACTCCCGTATTAGGGGGAGACATGCTGCTGTCGCCGACTTCCATGCACCTCCCCTATCATGCATAATCACAAAATCGGGGGAGTTCACCTCCGGTATTGCCTCTAGCAAGAGTTGAAAGAGGAAGGTACACGACTGCTTGTTCTCGCCCTCGACCCACGCACACCCCAACCTAACAAGGTTGTGTTGACTGTCTAGCATGCAAATGTTCAAAGTGTAACCCCCCCATCTCGTCTTATTATGACAACCATCTGCAAAAAGGATAGGCAAACAGTTCATCACAGACTCCTTGGCACCTGGATAGATGACACCGGCCCGGTAGAAGTTGTTACCCCGCCTCACCAATGACACTTTACACGACGGGTTTTCGACCTCAAACTTTCTCAGCAGGTCCTCCATGTACTCGAATCCTTTATCTCCCCCAAAAAGATCATCACTCAACTCCCAAAGCACCTCCCGTGCGAGAGTATAAGAACACTGCACACCCAGCACCTGATGAACACGGCTCATCAACGCTGCCGGTCTAACCTCGCCGTGCATTCTCATCTCACGTGCAACCTCTTTCACCTCTTCCCGTTGGACCCTAGCTGCACCGACTGTACACCTATCCGCATGCTCCAAATGAGCTGTCGTGACCCTGAGGTTATCACAAACAGGCCCTCGCACGATGATACGAAAAGGGCATAGCCCGGCGTCACTACTCACCTCACGTTTGGGCCAACCCTTCCCCTGCATACTCTTGCATCGCAACTCAATGAGATTGCTACGATTGTAATGAAAGTACGGAGATACCATCTGTTGCCGACAGTACAGCCGCACATCTGCCCTCGCCGCGTCTGCAGTAGAATAGACTTTCCCTAGGTGGATGTTGACTGCATCATTCTCCTGCATCTCAAAGGTACTGGCCTGGCCAAAGAATGAGAGGAGAGACATACACAAAACACCTCGAGTGCATAAGTTGTAGTATTGGTGTTGCTAGCATACGCTGGAACACAACAAAATAACACGAGATGTGATAATCATTGCGTTGGGAAACGGGTTCGTACCTGGAACGCAGTAGGCGAAACATGATGCCAAAGGCTAGACCCTGGCCCGGCAAGAGGGGAGATAGGGAATTATGCAGCAGAGAGAGGGGGGGGGGGGGGGGGGGGGGGGGGGGGGGAGGGGGGGGGGGGGGGGCGGGGAAATCGGAGTAGGATGGGATACTAGCGTGAGAGAGTGTGGGGAGGGTAATGCAAGTGCACAGCGAGACAATCATGACTAGTGCGCAGAAGATAGAGAGGGCAAGGTAGATAGAACGGTATGGATTGAGAGATAGCGGGAGGGGATGAGAGAGCGACTCGCTCAGCGGTCTCGAGTTGCTCGTAGGGTTACGCAACAAAGAGAGGCAGGGCAGGGAAATTCGAGTAGGGTGCGAACAAGTGTGTCAGTGCAGCAGAGAGAGGGAGAGGGGGGACGAAAATGCAGGTAGGTAGCGAAACAATCGTGACGGTTACGCAGCAGAGAATGGCAGGGCCCCAAAATCAGAGTAGGGTGCGAGACAAGCGTGAGGGAGTGGAAAGGGAGAGAGTGAGGCGGGAGGTTTTTGGAAAATGGCAACGAGGCAATCGTGAGGGTTACGCCACAGAGAGAGAGAGAGAGAGAGGGAGGGTACCTGAAAACTAGTTGCAGTAGAGCGACTCCACCAGGTTCCTGTTGAAGTTGGGGTTGCCCCGCCGCATGTGGCTCAGAATGCACATGAACAGCACCGCCAGGCGCTGCGCGCTGTGATTCGGAGGGTGGTGGAGGGGTAGGGGAAAGAGATGGAACAGGGGTAGGGGTATGGGAGCGAGGACAGGAACGAGGATGAGAGGTGGGACAGGGGTTATGACAATGAAGGGCATACGAGGGGATGAAAGGGTAAGTGACAGGGGATGAGGGTGAAGAACAGGGGAGAAGACAGCGTGTGATGGGGAGCGAGCATTCCGCAGGCGCGAGAGATAGAGGAAAGGGCGGACCAGGAGTTGAGGGTATGGGCTGCAAATAGAGAATCAGATGAGGGGACGGGTTCAGGGAGTGATTGGGTTCACGAGATGGAAGGGGACAGGGAGCAGCGGAGGGGGTTGAGTGCGGTTGAGATGGAGGATGGGGAGGAAGGCGAGGAGAGGAAGCGGAGTGAGGAGAGCAAGAGGGTGGGGTTGATGGGGGCCCTTAGTGGCCGATTAGGTTCAGGTTTGATGGGCCGAAGGGGGTCTGGTATGGTGGTGGATGTTGGTAGGCCTAATGATGAAGCAGAGGAGGATGAGGAGGAGGGAGATGGTGAGCGTAGCGAGCATAGTGACGATCATAGTGAGCAGCGGGAGAATGAGGAGTGGTCAGGTTCGGACAGGGGCTTGGCAGTGACCGTGGTTCGGCGGGAGTTTTGGATCCAGAGCTTACACCCCAGGGGAGCTGGAGGGGTGATGACGTCACCCTTCTGGGCAGTTTCAGGGGTGATGATGCGTTAACTCCCCTGGGCAGTTGGGGGGCCGAAGGGGAACTTACCCCGGTTTGGAGGGGTGAAGGGGAGATTACCACCCAGGGAAGCGGGGACTGGGGAGAAGAGGCAGAGAGGGAGAGGGAGAGGGAGAGGGAGGAAGAGGGGGAGGGGGTTTGGACACCTGTGCTAACCCCTCAGGGCAGTTGGAGGGGGGACATGTCAGGGAGCGAGAGAGGGAAGGGTCGGAAGGGGAAGGGTCTGTAATTGAGTTGCATCAGAGGGAGGGGGATTTGACAAGGGTGCTGGAAAGACAAGGGGGAGAGGGAAGGGGTTTTGACGCCTGAGTTGTCGCCTCAGGGGAGTTGGAGGGGAGAGTTTTTGGGGAGTGGGAGTAGGGAAGGGTGGGACGGGCTGGTGGGGGAGAGAGAGGGTAGGTACGAGGATGAGAGGGGGAGTGAGGAGGGAAGTGAGAGGAGGAGTGAGGAGGGAAGTGAGAGGGGGAGTGAGGGGTCTAGGGGTGAAGAAGAGGAGAGGGAGAGGCAGTGGGAGAGTCTGAGGGACGGGGAAGAGGAGGGGAGTGTGAGAGATGAGGATGAGGAGATGGAGAGAGGGGAGAGTGAGGGGGAACGTGAGGGAGAGAGTGCGGAGGAAGAGAGGGAGAGACAATGGGCCGAGATGCATGCTGGTAGTGAGGAAGGGAGTGAGGATGGAAGTTGACAGGAGGATGGAGAGCGAAGATGAAGAAGTGGGGGAATGAGGGAGAAGAGGGCAGGGGGGCAGACAGAGATGAGGAAAAGGACGAGGAGGTTGCAACTGGACAGGCTGATGTGGGGGTGGTCGTATCTGTGCAACGGGAGGACGGTGAGCTTTCCGCTGGGCGCATAGCTGGCCGCGAGAGAGACGCCTAAGGCAGGGAAGTTGAAGTGCAGTGAGTGAGTCCCTAAACCTGGATGAGGTTGGTGAGCGGTGAGCCCCCACGGGGGAGCAGTCACATGTTTCTGGAAGTCATCAAGGGCAGGGCAGTTCAAGCAAAGTGAAGTGAGGGAGTGGGCGCACCTTGACGATGTTGGTGAGTAGGTCGTATGGCTCAAAGCGGAATGGCTGTGAGGCGAAGAAGCCTGCAAACACCTGCCGTAGTACCGGTGGGGAGGGAGAGGGGGGAGAGAGAGGAGAGAGAGAGAGAGAGAGAGTGGCGGGGTTGAGTAATAGCAAGGAAAGGGTGAGCTCACCGCTGAGCGCATAGCTCTGGCCGCGAGAGAGGCGCAATGCGCCCAGCGGATTACTCACCGCTGAGCGCATAGCGCTGGCCGTGAGAGAACAGCTATGCGCCAAGCGGCGCTGATTCCGCAGGGCGAATAGCGCTGGAGGGAGAGGCGCAATGCGCCCAGCGGTGAGCAATCCGCTGAGCGCATTGCTGGCCGCGAGAGAGGCGCAATGCGCCCAGCTGTGAGCGATCCGCTGAGCGCATTGCTGGCCGCGAGAGAGGCGCAATGCGCCCAGCGGTTAGCGATCCGCTGAGCGCATTGCTGGCCGCGAGAGAGGCGCAATGCGCCCAGCGGTGAGCGATCCGCTGAGCGCATTGCTGGCCGCGAGAGAGGCGCAATGCGCCCAGCGGTGAGCGATCCGCTGAGCGCATTGCTGGCCGCGAGAGAGGCGCAATGCGCCCAGCGGTGAGCGATCCGCTGAGCGCATTGCTGGCCGCGAGAGAGGCGCAATGCGCCCAGCGGAATGCGCATAGCTTGGCGCATAGCGCTGGCCGCGAGTTGCGCGCTACGCGCCCAACGGCGAGCATTCCGCTGGGCGCATAGCGCTGGCCGCGAGATGCGCGCTACGCGCCCAACGGCGAGCATTCCGCTGGGCGCATAGCGCTGGCCGCGAGATGCGCGCTATGCGCCCAGCGGCGAGCATTCCGCTGGGCGCATAGCGCTGGCCGCGAGACAGGCGCTATGCGCCCAGCGGCGATCATTCAGAATTTCGAAGAATGGATAGATTCGAGTAGGTTCAGCATATAGGGAAGAGAAAGGGAGTGAGACGCACCTCTGATACGGATCAGCTGTAACTCGAGCTTCCGTGAATTTGATGGGGGGTAATAAGTCTGCTAAGAAGTCCTTACTAAGTTAGTGTCGAGAGTGATAGGGCTAGATCAGGATGACGGGGAGCAATCTGATGGAGTTTGCAGGTTGGGTTGATCTTAGTGTGCACGCGGTGTACAATACGCTTGGTTCTGGTTCGGTTGAGTGGTGTACGTGGTTCAGGAGGACGTGGGTGCATCACAGCTCGTGGATTGGTTTGGCGCGAGCGGGAAACCGTCAAATCAGGGTCATGTCAGAGCTGATTTCATCAAAGTTACCATTCTTCGCGTGATGGGCTGCTAGTGTATAGTTACCAAACGTGTTAAGCTAGTTACCAAACGCGTTAAGCGAGTTACCAAATACGTTAAGCGGGTTACCAAACGCGATGAAATCGTTATCGTACGTGTTACAGTGCCCCATGTAAGTTACCATTCACATATTTTCCCTTATGTTAAAGCCCAAGACCTGAAGTACTCAACGGAAGTCAACTGAGTATTTCTAGGTTCGGCGGGCTGCCACTTGGAGGTTCGGATGGGTTGAGTGACAGGCGAAGCCTAAAAAACACTTTGCGACTGAAAGTAGTTCGCCACAAGCTCCCTACATGCTGATTGGTTGTAAAAAGCAGGCAGGGCCCTTCTTCCCAAACTCGACAAACCTGAGAAGCAACGTGCCAGGGAAACTGTGCACAGTTTGAGCAGCCACACATGCACTCGAACAAACATATTAGTTGCTTAGTCCACTTCAGCAGGGCGCCACCTTAGATTCTAGAAATACGCGGAATAGCCGTAGGGAGCGAATGTCCGTGTTGCATCGGGGTTGAAGGTGGGAATGTGCTAGGGGCAAAAGCTTAGAGTCTCGCTTAGTAGCCGCACAGGCATTCCTAAATTACCATTTCTAGGCAAACTGTGCACAGGCAGTTCCCTTCTTCCTTCAGCAGGGGTGGTTGGAACTCTCGCCAAGTTGAAGCGTTCTGCTCTACGACGTGGTCTTTGTGGGGTGCGACGTTTTCTGGTAACCCCACTGGCTCGGGAGGTGTTCATTGGGCTCGGAAGGCAAACTGTGCACAGTTTGCCCTTTTTGATTTGTAATTCAGGTCTTGGGCTTCAAGGCTGGCTGCTTACACCAAGCCCCTTCAGCAGCACACCGCGGCTCCGCCACGTCAAAAAATACCAGACTGCAGAACAAACTTACACAACATACTGTCAATCGAGTGTCAGACACTGATCAAAGCCTGGATGCACTTCAGGGCTGTAGTGATTACCAGCACTAGGGTTTTCCGGGGCACACCCTCTGTTGGTGATCACTCGCCTACCCATTCAATAAATAGAGCTTTTCTCCCATTGCTGTGAGACCCGCAATGACCAGAGGGAGAGGATGGGGCATTGCATGCGGGGGTTGACATGCGGGTTGACATGCGAGGGTGGGTCGGCATGCTACACGACACGAGTGTGTCTGTCGAGATCTCGTCCCACCTTTTGGAAGTATCACATGCCTGCTCATGCTGCTGCCCTAGAATCGTATCGCCCCTTGCATGCCGGCCATTTGAGGAGTGTTAATGCCTTTTTTCTCGAAATCTGATCCCCCGCACGCTGGCTGGATGGTTATTAGACGTCTGCCTTGCCGACCCACTCCCCCACCTCCCTTCGCCCCCCCCCGACCCCTCTTCCATTGGGTGTTGTGGTTTGGCTTTTGAGTCGACTCAAAAGTCTACCCGACCCCTCTTCCATTGGGTGTTGTGGTTTGAACGAACGTCTACTTAGCATCCATGCATGCGATAATCAATATCATCATAATCATAATCATCACATCATCATCATCGTCCGTCTGTCTGACTTTGCATGAGCAGGTGCGCGAAGCCCTCACAGAGTATCTCTACCATGCTGCTGAGCTGGCAAGAGAGGTGGGTGACGTGGCAGAGAAGGTGGGTGAGCTGGCGACAGTTTGGTTGGGATGTCAAACAGAAAGTACCACACCACCTTCCCCCTGGGTACATACGGCTGTTGGTGATCTGTTTGAGTTTTTAATGGCTGAATGGATGCATTCGTCATGCTACCATGCATTCGTCATGATACCATGCATTCGTCATGCTACCATGCATTCGTCATGCTACCATGCATTCCTCATGCTACCATGCATTCCTCATGCTACCATGCATTCCTCATGCTACCATGCATTCCTCATGCTACCATGCATTCCTCATGCTACCATGCATTCCTCATGCTACCATGCATTCCTCATGCTACCATGCATTCCTCATGCTACCATGCATTCCTCATGCTACCATGCACTCGTGGTGCTACCATGCACTCGTGGTGCTACCATGCACTCGTGGTGCTACCATGCACTCGTGGTGCTACCATGCACTCGTGGTGCTACCATGCACTCGTGGTGCTACCATGCACTCGTGGTGCTACCATGCACTCGTGGTGCTACCATGCACTCGTGGTGCTACCATGCACTCGTGGTGCTACCATGCACTCGTGGTGCTACCATGCACTCGTGGTGCTACCATGCACTCGTGGTGCTACCATGCACTCGTGGTGCTACCATGCACTCGTGGTGCTACCATGCACTCGTGGTGCTACCATGCACTCGTGGTGCTACCATGCACTCGTGGTGCTACCATGCACTCGTGGTGCTACCATGCACTCGTGGTGCTACCATGCACTCGTGGTGCTACCATGCACTCGTGGTGCTACCATGCACTCGTGGTGCTACCATGCACTCGTGGTGCTACCATGCACTCGTGGTGCTACCATGCACTCGTGGTGCTACCATGCACTCGTGGTGCTACCATGCACTCGTGGTGCTACCATGCACTCGTGGTGCTACCATGCACTCGTGGTGCTACCATGCACTCGTGGTGCTACCATGCACTCGTGGTGCTACCATGCACTCGTGGTGCTACCATGCACTCGTGGTGCTACCATGCACTCGTGGTGCTACCATGCACTCGTGGTGCTACCATGCACTCGTGGTGCTACCATGCACTCGTGGTGCTACCATGCACTCGTGGTGCTACCATGCACTCGTGGTGCTACCATGCACTCGTGGTGCTACCATGCACTCGTGGTGCTACCATGCACTCGTGGTGCTACCATGCACTCGTGGTGCTACCATGCACTCGTGGTGCTACCATGCACTCGTGGTGCTACCATGCACTCGTGGTGCTACCATGCACTCGTGGTGCTACCATGCACTCGTGGTGCTACCATGCACTCGTGGTGCTACCATGCACTCGTGGTGCTACCATGCACTCGTGGTGCTACCATGCACTCGTGGTGCTACCATGCTCCCTTTGTCCCCTCTCATCTCGCTTTTCCCCCTCTCGGAAAGCTCTGCCTATCCTCGTCTTTACAATCAAGCTCAGCAAATTATCTTCGTTCCAACCAACCATCACTTGATGTGAAACCAGCACTTGATGTGAAACCAGCACTTGATGTGAAACCAGCACTTGATGTGAAACCAGCACTTGATGTGAAACCAGCACTTGATGTGAAACCAGCACTTGATGTGAAACCAGCACTTGATGTGAAACCAGCACTTGATGTGAAACCAGCACTTGATGTGAAACCAGCACTTGATGTGAAACCAGCACTTGATGTGAAACCAGCACTTGATGTGAAACCAGCACTTGATGTGAAACCAGCACTTGATGTGAAACCAGCACTTGATGTGAAACCAGCACTTGATGTGAAACCAGCACTTGATGTGAAACCATCACTTGATGTGAAACCATCACTTGATGTGAAACCAGCACTTGATGTGAAACCAGCACTTGATGTGAAACCAGCACTTGATGTGAAACCAGCACTTGATGTGAAACCAGCACTTGATGTGAAACCAGCACTTGATGTGAAACCATCACTTGATGTGAAACCATCACTTGATGTGAAACCAGCACTTGATGTGAAACCAGCACTTGATGTGTAACCAGCACTTGATGTGAAACCAGCACTTGATGTGAAACCAGCACTTGATGTGAAACCAGCACTTGATGTGAAACCAGCACTTGATGTGAAACCAGCACTTGATGTGAAACCAGCACTTGATGTGAAACCAGGCCAACCAATCCCTTACCGCCATCCTCCTGCCACCCACCCTGCCTGTCTACCATCCTCTCTTCCGTTCTCTCACCTCACCCACCCCAATCATCTTGCCACGAGAAGGTTGTGGGGCAAGGAGCTGTTGCGATGGAGTGGGCAGGTGTGGCATCTGCCTGCCTGCATTCCTCCCTTCTGTGCTCTCATCTCACTCCACACATCTCACTCACCCCACACATCTCACTCGCCCCACACATCTCACTCATCCCACACATCTCACTCACCCCACACATCTCACTCGCCCCACACATCTCACTCACCCCACACATCTCACTCGCCCCACACATCTCACTCACCCCACACATCTCACTCGCCCCACACATCGCACTCACCCCACACATCTCACTCACCCCACACATCTCACTCACCCCACACATCTCACTCGCCCCACACATCTCACTCACCCCACACATCTCACTCACCCCACACATCTCACTCACCCCACACATCTCACTCACCCCACACATCTCATTCACCCCACACATCTCACTCATCCCACACATCTCACTCACCCCACACATCTCACTCATCCCACACATCTCACTCACCCCACACATCTCATCTCACTCACCCCACACATCTCACTCAACCCACCCATCTCACTCACCCCACACATCTCACCACAGCCTGCTCGTGGGGCAGGGGGCAGATGCGGTGGATGCAACGATGCAGTGTTCTATTTGCCTGGTGCAGCATCTGCTTTCCTACACTCTTCCGCTTCTGTGTTCTCACCTTACCCCACCCATGCATCCCACCCCACCCATGCATCCCACCCCACCCATGCATCCCACCCCACCCATGCATCCCACCCCACCCATGCATCCCACCCCACCCATCTCACCACGAATGAGCAGGCGGTGGGGCAGGGGGCTGATGCGGTGGTGGCTGTGGGGGGCGATGGTACACTTCACGAGTTGATGTGACCTACATTCGATCCTCTCTTCTCTGTTCTCTTCCCACCCCACCCATCTCACCACGAATGAGCAGGCGGTGGAGCAGGGGGCTGATGCGGTGGTGGCTGTGGGGGGCGATGGTACACTTCACGAGTTGATGTGACCTACATTCGATCCTCTCTTCTCTGTTCTCTTCCCACCCCACCCATCTCACCACGAATGAGCAGGCGGTGGAGCAGGGGGCTGATGCGGTGGTGGCTGTGGGGGGCGATGGTACACTTCACGAGTTGATGTGACCTACATTCGATCCTCTCTTCTCTGTTCTCTTCCCACCCCACCCATCTCACCACGAATGAGCAGGCGGTGGAGCAGGGGGCTGATGCGGTGGTGGCTGTGGGGGGCGATGGTACACTTCACGAGTTGATGTGACCTACATTCGATCCTCTCTTCTCTGTTCTCTTCCCACCCCACCCATCTCACCACGAATGAGCAGGCGGTGGAGCAGGGGGCTGATGCGGTGGTGGCTGTGGGGGGCGATGGTACACTTCACGAGTTGATGTGACCTACATTCGATCCTCTCTTCTCTGTTCTCTTCCCACCCCACCCATCTCACCACGAATGAGCAGGCGGTGGAGCAGGGGGCTGATGCGGTGGTGGCTGTGGGGGGCGATGGCACACTTCACGAGGTGATGTGACCTCTCGCACTAGTTGCTAGTACAGTATCGAACTGTTTATGGGGTTAATGGTACATTGCATTGAATCGCATGAGACTCTAACTGACAGGGTAGTGTATTATGTGGGAGGTTAATGGTGCATTGGACCATGCCATTATTCATCAACAGGTACTGTTGTAATGTGTGTATGTATGGGGCATGGGCATGGGCATGGGCATGGGCATGGGCATGGGCATGTTGCATTGTATGAGGTGATGTGCCGCTCACTCACGTTAGCAGATACAATGGCTCTGTTCTGTAGGCCCTGGCGGTGGGGGGGCGAGGGGAAATAGGTAGCTTCCCCCCACTGCGTTTTTTGGTTTGGAAAGGCCGTCAGCCCGCAAAACGGAGCCGAGCCAGCCATTTCCCCTCCGAACCTGTTCGAGGGGAAATGGCTACAGAACAGCCACGTACCCTCAGTGGTTTAGGCTACAAGGAAACTACCAACTTCCCCTCCCCACCTTCCTTCTCAGGCAAACATCAAGGCACTCGCCCCGCCCTACGAAACCCGCTTTTTCAGGGCGTGGCGAGAGACATGGGAGGGATGTACAGGGGGTGGGGACACCCATCTCCTACCCCAGAAAGACATGGGAGGGATGTACAGGGGGTGGGGACACCCATCTCCTACCCCAGAAAGACATGGGATGGATGTACAGGGGGTGGGGACACCCATCTCCTACCCCAGAAAGACATGGGAGGGATGTACAGGGGGTGGGGACACCCATCTCCTACCCCAGAAAGACATGGGAGGGATGTACAGGGGGTGGGGACACCCATCTCCTACCCCAGAAAGACATGGGAGGGATGTACAGGGGGTGGGGACACCCATCTCCTACCCCAGAAAGACATGGGAGGGATGTACAGGGGGTGGGGACACCCATCTCCTACCCCAGAAAGACATGGGAGGGATGTACAGGGGGTGGGGACACCCATCTCCTACCCCAGAAAGACATGGGAGGGATGTACAGGGGGTGGGGACACCCATCTCCTACCCCAGAAAGACATGGGAGGGATGTACAGGGGGTGGGGACACCCATCTCCTACCCCAGAAAGACATGGGAGGGATGTACAGGGGGTGGGGACACCCATCTCCTACCCCAGAAAGACATGGGAGGGATGTACAGGGGGTGGGGACACCCATCTCCTACCCCAGAAAGACATGGGAGGGATGTACAGGGGGTGGGGACACCCATCTCCTACCCCAGAAAGACATGGGAGGGATGTACAGGGGGTGGGGACACCCATCTCCTACCCCAGAAAGACATGGGAGGGATGTACAGGGGGTGGGGACACCCATCTCCTACCCCAGAAAGACATGGGAGGGATGTACAGGGGGTGGGGACACCCATCTCCTACCCCAGAAAGACATGGGAGGGAGGTACAGGGGGTGGGGACACCCATCTCCTACCCCAGAAAGACATGGGAGGGAGGTACAGGGGGTGGGGACACCCATCTCCTACCCCAGAAAGACATGGGAGGGAGGTACAGGGGGTGGGGACACCCATCTCCTACCCCAGAAAGACATGGGAGGGATGTACAGGGGGTGGGGACACCCATCTCCTACCCCAGAAAGACATGGGAGGGATGTACAGGGGGTGGGGACACCCATCTCCTACCCCAGAAAGACATGGGAGGGATGTATAGGGGGTGGGGACACCCATCTCCTACCCCAGAAAGACATGGGAGGGATGTACAGGGGGTGGGGACACCCATCTCCTACCCCAGAAAGACATGGGAGGGATGTACAGGGGGTGGGGACACCCATCTCCTACCCCAGAAAGACATGGGAGGGATGTACAGGGGGTGGGGACACCCATCTCCTACCCCAGAAAGACATGGGAGGGATGTACAGGGGGTGGGGACACCCATCTCCTACCCCAGAAAGACATGGGAGGGATGTACAGGGGGTGGGGACACCCATCTCCTACCCCAGAAAGACATGGGAGGGATGTACAGGGGGTGGGGACACCCATCTCCTACCCCAGAAAGACATGGGAGGGATGTACAGGGGGTGGGGACACCCATCTCCTACCCCAAAAAGACATGGGAGGGATGTACAGGGGGTGGGGACACCCATCTCCTACCCCAGAAAGACATGGGAGGGATGTACAGGGGGTGGGGACACCCATCTCCTACCCCAGAAAGACATGGGAGGGATGTACAGGGGGTGGGGACACCCATCTCCTACCCCAGAAAGACATGGGAGGGATGTACAGGGGGTGGGGACACCCATCTCCTACCCCAGAAAGACATGGGAGGGATGTACAGGGGGTGGGGACACCCATCTCCTACCCCAGAAAGACATGGGAGGGATGTACAGGGGGTGGGGACACCCATCTCCTACCCCAGAAAGACATGGGAGGGATGTACAGGGGGTGGGGACACCCATCTCCTACCCCAGAAAGACATGGGAGGGATGTACAGGGGGTGGGGACACCCATCTCCTACCCCAGAAAGACATGGGAGGGATGTACAGGGGGTGGGGACACCCATCTCCTACCCCAGAAAGACATGGGAGGGATGTACAGGGGGTGGGGACACCCATCTCCTACCCCAGCAAGACATGGGAGGGATGTACAGGGGGTGGGGACACCCATCTCCTACCCCAGAAAGACATGGGAGGGATGTACAGGGGGTGGGGACACCCATCTCCTACCCCAGAAAGACATGGGAGGGATGTACAGGGGGTGGGGACACCCATCTCCTACTCCAGAAAGACATGGGAGGGATGTACAGGGGGTGGGGACACCCATCTCCTACCCCAAAAAGACATGGGAGGGAGGTACAGGGGCTGGGGACACCCATCTCCTACCCCAGAAAGACATGGGAGGGAGGTACAGGGGGTGGGTGTTAGATTCTACTACTCTTTTGTATCCTGCATTGATCCTATAAACCCTAGGACAGAGATAGGCACCCAAACTATGTTTGGGTGCACAACTAGGGTTAACCCTAGTTGGGGGTTGGAACCCAACCTTGGTCCAATTATTGGCCCCCAAGGTTGAGTTGAGAGATTATTGGCCCCCCCAATAATGTTGGCCCACTTTTGGCCAACATTATTGGGACCCCCCAATAATTCTCCAACCTAACTTATTGGTGGGGGGCCAATAATGATGACTAGGTACCCAACCAACCCCCCCCTCCCCTAGCTTCAACTATGTAAGCCCATATGATTCCTAATCAACTCAATGGTTCAATTCTAACATAGTTATCAGAGCTCTTACGGCCAACGCCGCTCAAGATCCTAGGACCCCTCATGCTACTTAGCGCACCTCTCGCCGGCTCTGCCGTGCCTCACGCGCCACTTAGCGCGCCTCACACGCCACTTAGCGCGCCTCTCGCGCCACTTAGCGCACCTCTCCCCGGCTCTGCCGCACCTCTCGCGCCACTTAGCGCACCTCTCCCCGGCTCTGCCGCACCTCTTGCGCCACTTAGCGCACCTCTCCCCGGCTCTGCCGCGCCTCTCGCGCAACTTAGCGCACTTCCGCCGGCTCTGCCGTGCCCCTCGCGCCATCTCGGCGCTCCCCTCCTCCCCTCGACCGTCCGCCGCGACGAACGCGACCGTCAGCCGCGGACGCGACGAACGCGACCGTCAGCCGCGGACGCGACGAACGCGACCGTCAGCCGCGGACGCGACGACCGCGACCGACAACCGCGGACGCGACGTCGGCGCCGACGACGAGGGCGGACGCGACGTCCGCGCCGACGGGCAGCGCGGACGCGACATCGGCGCCGACGACGAGGGCGGACGCGACGTCCGCGCCGACGGGCAGCGCGGACGCGACATCGGCGCCGACGACGAGGGCGGACGCGACGTCCGCGCCGACGGGCAGCGCGGACGCGACATCGGCGCCGACGACGAGGGCGGACGCGACGTCCGCGCCGACGGGCAGCGCGGACGCGACATCGGCGCCGACGACGAGGGCGGACGCGACGTCCGCGCCGACGGGCAGCGCGGACGCGACATCGGCGCCGACGACGAGGGCGGACGCGACGTCCGCGCCGACGGGCAGCGCGGACGCGACATCGGCGCCGACGACGAGGGCGGACGCGACGTCCGCGCCTACGGGCAGCGCGGACGCGCCACCCGCGCCGACGACGAGGGCGGTCGCGACGTCCGCGCCGACGGGCAGCGCGGACGCGACATCCGCGGACAGCCGCCGCGGTCGGGACGAACGCGGGCAGCCGCCGCGGACGGGACGAACGCGGGCAGCCGCCGCGGACGGGACGAACGCGGGCAACCGCCGAGGACGGGACGAACGCGGGCAGCAGCTACGGACGGGACGAACGCGGGCAGCAGCCGCGGACGGGACGAACGCGGGCAGCCGCGAACGCGACCAGACGGGGGAGTACCCAGCTGCGGACAGCACGCAACTCATCCCCACCACTGACCGCGCCGTCCCTCCGGACAGCGTCGTCACCTCTAGCACCTCCACCCTCCCCCCCCCCCCCCCCTCCTCCCTCACTCGTTATGGCGGACGAACCTTCGTCGCTTGAGCTCGCCTCGATTGACAAACTCGAGCTCCTCAACGGCACCACCGCAGTCAATTGGGTGTCGTTTGAGGAGAGTCTCTTCACGTACCTTGGCTCCGTCCGAGTGGGAGATTATTGCCTTCTTGACGTCGTCCTCGAAACGCCTCACGGCCTCCCTCCCACCCCGCCCCCGCTCCCAGGCTCCTCCCCTCCTGACGCCCCACCACTCCCGACCGAACCCGCCCCTCAAGCCCCCATCCTAGGGGCTTGGGAGGATGACCCAGACAGGTGGGCTCGCACCCTCAACAAGTACAACAAGGAGCGAGACGACTACGTCATCAAGGGCAGAGCACACGCGGCTGCCGTCGCCGCTCACGAAGCTGCTACTGCAAAGCTTGCAGAGTTCAAAGCCATCTCCGAAGCGTACTCTACTAACCTTCGTAAGCATCACTCCGATACTGCTGCATGGCGCATTGCTGACCGCCGTGCACTCACTGTCATCTTCTCGTGCG